CAGGATCTTCTGCGATAACGTATCGCCACGTGACTGAGATCCACTTGGCCTGTCGGTCTAGGGTAACCTAGTCTGGTCTTGCGCTGTGACAATTTAGTATGTATTAATTTCATTAAATGCAACCGTTATATTATATATGAAAAGCTTGTTAACTTTTTAGGTGGTTATATCTTATAAACTATAATATGCTGAGTTATATGCCTCTATTATGGTTGTAAATGGAGGGCTATGTAAAGAATACCGTTATCTAGAGAAACTGCTTATTAACGGCTTTCTTGGTGTCAAGCTTGGAAGGAAGATATTGAAGAATTGTTAGAGGTTTATTGCTTTGAAGTTTGCGGGTTATTTGCTTCCGGGAATCTTCTACTTAACTGACGATGCCTTCAGACTATTTTCAGCGATGAATTGTTAGTTTAATTGCAATCTAATTATAAACGAGGTTGGATATTCTGGAAGCCTTATAAGAAGTTTATGAAGGAATTAGTTAATGTAATAGTTTATGGAAAGTTACGATTATCTATTATGGTTTAGGGAGTAATCTGGAGAGGAGGGAAATCTGATATTATTATTATAATCTGCGATTAGACCGCCAAAAGAAGAGGATATACTTCTTTAAGTTATTAACAGGCTTTAATAGAAGGTTTACTTCCTATATACGAGGGATTTTATTAATTTTAATAAGATAATACTCGTATTTATACCTTAGAGTCTACGATAAACTGGCTGTTAGATTACGGAATATCCTAGATTAACTAGCCTGCTTATAGTCCAGATCTTAATCTAATTAAGTATATTTAGAAGTAATTAAAGCTAAATATTAAAAAGATGTTTTCTTAATTAGACCTTCTTAAAAACAACGAAGTTAATTGAGCAAAGTTGATTAAATGTATCAAGTTGGCGTAGGCAGTAATTACAACTAAGCAAGTAAACCGGCTAATTAACTTACTCCCTCGTCGAATTGATGCATATATTTATGCCCAGGGTTGGTATATAAAATATTAAAGAGAAAAATCAGGGCTTTAAAATGATATATAATTCATTGTTATTGGATTTAATTTAATTAAAATATCTATAAGTGAAGTTATTCCTGTTGTACGGATCAAGTTGCTACAGGGTGGGGTGTCCACAGACTTTTGGAGCATAATTTTAGAAAGCCAAAGCATCCATGGTTTTTCATCGGACAGGACAGTGCAGCAACAAGGGCAATTAAGTTAGTGCAATGTAGCACTGTAAGAAACAAAGTGCTTCGTACAGAGTGTATGTATCGTGTTCCCGTCAATCCTCGCACGGGAATAACACAGACTCGAAAAATCACATCTCCAACACCTGGGCTTGATCAAATTGAGCTTGGAGTCAGGCTGAATGATGAAACGTCGATTTAATGGCGAATCTCTACTAACCAAGTGGAACCGTAATCCGTCACCTGTGTAGCACGTCCTAGAGGAGGCAACAAAACTTAGGATCTCTGTTCTGAGTGACAAAAGAAATTAGGCAAGGTTGATGTAGACTCCATTAGCCTTTAGATCAATCTTTTTTTTTTTTTTTTTTTTTTTTTTTTTTTTTTGGCATCCCAGGTCAAGTTCATAGCTTTTCTTGAGGCACGGCGAAGCCGCACTCAGCACCGCAATGTGTTCGTTCCATGGGCTCCGTGACAGTGGTAGACCCCGCTGTGTTTGTAAGCCCGGTCCGTTGATTACAAGTGACCGACCGATGCTGCTTTATTCATCAGTCATGTCTGCATCTGCTTATGAGTTAGTCCCATTGGATGACAGCGGAGAAATATCGTGGCGCTTTTTCTCGCTCGAAAGTAAAGTCCGTGAACCCGACAATGCGGAGGTAAAACCTGGACATAACGGGACCTGCGGAGGTTGATGACAAGTTATATTTCCATCCAAGAGAGGAAGGCGCTCGTATAACCCCCGGGATACTGCCAAGAGGCATAGTAGAATTAAATGTAGGTATTAGAGTAGGCATGGAAATAAACAAAGGACGCCGCGGGCCAGGAAAGAAACGGAACAGAATAAACAAAAAGAGAATGACCAAAGTCTGTTTAATGAGGGGCTGATATTCATTCATTGAAGCAACGTGGGGCTCATGCTACATAATATCTTAACCTTGCTGGTCCTCTCTCTATGAGGCAGGGACGTGAAGATCTGGTCGAAGCTTGTTCCTCGGTTGTTTATGAGGCTGTCAAGTGTCCCTCTACCAGGAATAACCCTTCTCACACTTTGACAAGTCAATCAACGAGGGTAAATATCCTCGTAAAGGAACAAAGCGGTCTCAGATCTTTGTTACAGCGTGGTATTGTACATCAATAAAGGAGGACGAGGCGAAACCGGACCTTGATGCCGCCAAGCGACCATTGAGATCATCACGCAAGGTTGGATAAATAAAAGAGTGGAGGATCCCGCCTTGAAACATTGCAACTGCTACCTACGATGGCTTGGATGGCTAGTTCCTGGACAAGTTGCTATCTTCTGTTCTGGCTACTATGCTTGTACAGTATTGTGCAGCCATCCCCTGACCCCTCGTCAGGAGATTTGTGCAGTCACCGCTCACAATTTTCTACTTACAGGTACGAGATCAAGAAGACGAACCCGCCATCCGTCGAACTACCGCAGCAGGCAACGGTCGATTGTCCAGGGTCGCCAACGCGGTGAGGATCAAAAAGATTCGACAATTTATCGAGGGTGGTACTCAAAGGAACCCCGCCCTTCGGCTTACATGATCCAAGGGGAATTCAAAAAACCATTGATGACGGTCTCGAAGAATAGCCACCATATCTGACCCTTAGGGGGCTAGTCTTGATGGCTGCAGCGAATAGAAGCTTATCTGATTTTTAAGATGCACGCCATCGACATCTTTGGTTGCAATGACAATGGTCACGGCCGGAAGGGATTGGTGAAATGCCCGTATGCGGAGTCCATCCACGGAGGCGACGGAGCCGGAGCTTCCATCCATGGACATATACCTAAAGTTAGGTACTCAAAGCCCTCAAAACTCACAATAGTTCGTAAGAGACTAACGAATCTTGACAGAAAACACGCATCGGATATTCAGGGTCGCGGTTGACTTGATATTATCCTTGGCAAATCTTAGGCGCAACCTATTGTAAGTTTCCCCCTTTGCAAGGGGTTGGCTGGTGCTTCAAGGGGGCAGCAAATGCCAGCTGGAGGCGTATGCAGCAATAGATCGTAGCAAGCTATTAACAAAGCTCGCAAAGGGCCGAGTGATTTGTTCAAAGCTAGGACACGAAGAGTTTCTAGAACGATGCAGATATAGTGGAAGTGTTCAGTGCATGTTTTTTAACCAAGAAACTGTTGTAGCGCAGTTTGTTGTGTTGTTGTGGTCGTGTTAAGGTAAATAGACCCCTGGCTGACAAGCTTCTGTTGGAGTTTCCCGTCCTCTCCAGCTCCAACTGTCACAAAAAAAAACAGGAGTGTCGGGGATATGTAGCGGCCGACCACGCCGCGAGACGCACGCATTGAAAGCCCGAGGGAGCCGCCCGTGTTCCCAGGGCTGAGGTATGACTGATCTATTCACGTTACGTTAGACCAAGATAGTTCTACCGCCTAACTGCTGAGAGCAGTATAACACAGTCGAAATTCCCGACGATTTCAGTTAGAACCGTGGCGCCGGCGTTAGTGGACTCTGCAGGTCGCTGGGAGGCGGGAGATCCATAGGTTCCATTGGATTTGACCGTTGCCTACCGCTGAGAAACTATCATGACGGGAGCCAGGGAGTACAGTGCTAAGTTAAATCGGTATGTAAGGTATGACGGATGCCCACAAGTACCGTGCTAAGCCTGGAGCCCGATGAGTAGAAGACACTCCGTTCGTGATGCGGTTTAATGGATGGATAATGACATTGAATGTATAGCAGCAATGCGACAACACCGCCTTGTCAAGGCTGTAAAGGTAAGGTAGGTATGTAAGCACTGCAAAGAAGCTTAGCTGCTAGTACACAATGCGAGACAGCGCATCGCAATCGTGAGAATCCAATCCATCCAATGCAAGCATCCACAGGATCCAATCTGTATGCAGGAGCAGATCCATGAGTACTTAGGGGGTACATTCCGGGCAGATGAAAGAGTGCGTCGGATGGGCCGGGATCAAGACTCCCCACGCACACCCACCCACAAGAAGCCTGCGACCCACGCCCCCGACACCCACTTTCCATTGCCCATTTCCCTTCAGCAGCGCTCATCAGCGAGTCCCAGCGGTTGTCTCGAGCGGGTACCGCCCAGAAATGGCTATCCCAGAGTGCTAGAGTCTCAGGCTCTCTGGCGGCCACTCACTTTAACTGGCGGACGGGACGGGGCCCGGGGAGGGTCTCTCGTCTCTCCAAAGTCCACCGTAGCTTTTTTCCCTTGCCGCCCCGTTCTTTCTATTGCCTTTGCTTACACAATTCAATTCCCCTTGTACCTTCTTCCAGCCAGCCCGTTCTTCTCGTCAGTCCCGTCATCTCGTCACCATCAACAACCTTACCTTTACTCTCTCCACGTTCACCTTCTTCTACCGTTTCGACGATTTTCGAACGGTCCTGGCGAAGCCGTTTCATACTCGAGTTTATCACATCGCCGCCGCCAATAGTAATTCTTGACGAGCAGCTGGTGTTGCTTCAATTGTACCTGCTCCATTCACTTCGACTCTGTACCATATACGCTTAATCAGACGCCTCTCGCTTCTCTCGACTCCTACTTGGACTCGTTCAGTTTCCCCAATCTGGCTGGCATCGAGGGGCCGATCGGGCGCTTGCCCGCGACTTCATCATGACCACAACAACAACCTCTGACGGCCACCTTGATCCGCAGGCCCTCAGTGCTACTCAAAGATCGCGATGGGCCACACAAAGAAAAAGCGTCAACAGTAGCAACAACAAACGCAATTCTCTACTCGAACGTATGGGACATAAGAAGACAGGTTCCAATGAGAAGAACCCCCCCTCCGACGGATCCGACCCTCACGGTGACGATGGCCAACCGCCCCAAGCGAACCCCGAAGACCTGAATGGTGGTGAGGAGGACGAGGATCACGAGAACCGCACCTTGTTCTTTAACCAGCCCCTGCCTGAAGAGCTTTTGGATGAAAACGGCCATCCCACTCAAGTCTTCACGCGAAATAAAATCCGAACAGCCAAATATACGCCTCTATCATTCGTTCCTAAAAACTTGTGGTTTCAATTCCATAATGTTGCTAATATATTTTTCTTGTTCTTGGTTATCCTGGTCGTAAGTTGACCACCCGCCCCCCTTTACCCTCGCGAGTAACCCTTAACCTTGAAATAGATCTTTCCAATTTTTGGTGGTGTCAATCCAGGTCTCAACGCCGTTCCGTTGATTTTCATTATTGCAGTGACTGCTATCAAGGATGCCATTGAAGATTACCGACGAACTATTCTCGACATCGAACTCAACAATGCTCCTGTCCACCGATTACGAAACTGGAACAACGTCAATGTTATGGAGGGCGACGTTTCCATGTGGCGTCAATTCAAGAAGGCCAACTCAAAATTCTTCGGTTCTATCTGGCGAGCAACTCAATCTCTGTGGTCCAAGAAGGCGAAGGAGGAGAGGGCGAAGCGGAAGGCCGGCCCTGCGGAGGATGATGCGCCTCGGCCTTCAGTCGAGACACACCGAACTCGTCAGTCCATGCGACAGTCCATTGCATCGCCTTTCACCGGTCGCGAGTCCTTCATGTCCGCCCGAGAGGATATTCAGATGACCCCTGTTCCATCGCCTTCACCTCAGGCTACACCTGCACAATTTGAGATGCCTGACCAGCAAGATGCCAAGCGCGCAGCAGCCTTATCGCAGATGAAGTCTGATATCATCAACTACAACCATCCCCCATCCGGTGCTCGATTTCAAAAGGATACCTGGAAAAGTCTCGTCGTTGGCGATTTCGTTCGTATATATAATGACGAAGAATTGCCCGCTGATGTCATCATTCTATCTACCTCCGATCCTGATGGAGGCTGCTATGTCGAAACCAAGAATCTGGACGGCGAAACTAACCTGAAAGTCCGCCAGGCTTTACGTTGCGGCCGAGGTCTAAAGCATGCTAGAGACTGCGAACGTGCAGAGTTTGTGATTGAAAGTGAGGGACCGCAACCAAACCTCTACAAGTATAACGGTGCCATCAAGTGGAAGCAAAATGTCCCCGGCTACCTCGACGACGAGCCCGAGGATATGACGGAACCTATCACCATCGACAACCTCCTCCTACGTGGATGCAACCTCCGGAATACCGAGTGGATTGTTGGTGTAGTAATTTATACCGGACATGACACCAAAATCATGATGAACGCTGGTATCACTCCTAGTAAGCGTGCTCGCATTGCTCGAGAGATGAACTTCAATGTCGTGTGTAACTTCGGTATCTTGCTTATCATGTGTTTGCTCGCCGCTATAATAAACGGTGTCGCATGGGCAAAGACAGATGCGTCTCTTCACTTCTTCGACTTCGGATCCATTGGCGGCAAACCAGCTATGAGCGGATTTATCACTTTCTGGGCTGCCATTATTCTGTTCCAGAACTTGGTCCCTATTTCGCTCTATATCACGCTGGAAATTGTACGAACTTTACAGGCTATCTTTATTTACAGCGATGTGGAGATGTACTACGAACCGATCGATCAACCATGTATTCCCAAGTCATGGAACATTTCGGACGATGTTGGCCAAATCGAATACATCTTTTCCGACAAAACCGGTACTCTCACACAAAACGTCATGGAGTTCAAGAAGGCAACGATCAATGGACAGCCATACGGAGAAGCTTACACGGAGGCTCAGGCAGGAATGCAGAAGCGACTTGGCATCGATGTTGAGAAGGAAGCAGAGAGGGCTCGCGCCGAGATTGCTGACGCCAAGGTTCGGGCGCTTGCTGGTCTTCGTAAAATCCACGACAACCCATATCTTCACGACGAGGCTTTGACATTCATTGCTCCTGACTTTGTTTCCGATCTCGCTGGCGAGTCAGGCCCCGAGCAGCAGGCAGCCAATGAGTATTTCATGCTCGCCCTGGCTCTCTGTCATACTGTGATGGCTGAGAAGGTTGATGGTGACAAACCAAAAATGATTTTCAAGGCGCAATCGCCAGATGAAGAAGCCTTGGTTGCTACTGCTCGTGATATGGGTTTCACTGTTCTCGGAAGCTCTGGTGAAGGCATCAATCTGAACGTTATGGGCCAGGACCGACATTATCAAATCCTCAACACTCTTGAATTCAACTCTAGTCGAAAGCGAATGAGCTCAATTGTCCGGATGCCCGATGGCCGCATCGTTCTCTTCTGCAAAGGTGCAGATAGTATCATCTACTCTCGCCTTAAACGAGGCGAACAGAAGGAGCTCAGAAAGACAACTGCCGAGCATCTCGAAATGTTTGCCCGCGAAGGTCTTCGAACACTTTGCATTGCCCACAAGGAAGTTTCCGAGCAGGACTACCGAGCTTGGAAGAAAGAACACGATGCAGCTGCTTCTGCCCTCGAAGAGCGGGAAGAGAAGCTGGAATCCGTGGCCGAGCTGATTGAACAAGATCTCTACCTTATTGGTGGTACCGCCATCGAGGATCGGTTGCAAGATGGAGTTCCCGACACAATTGCTCTCTTGGGTAATGCTGGTATCAAGCTTTGGGTTCTCACTGGCGACAAAGTTGAGACTGCTATTAATATCGGCTTCTCTTGTAACCTTCTCAACAATGACATGGAATTGATTCACCTGAAGGTCGACGAGGACGAGACAGGCGAGATCACTGACGAGACCTTCTTTGATATGGCAGAAAGACTATTGGACGACAACCTTCAGACTTTTGGTATTACTGGTAGCGACCATGATCTCGCGCTTGCCAAGAAGAACCACGAACCGCCTGCCCCAACCCACGGACTTGTCATCGATGGTTTCACACTCCGATGGGTACTCAACGACCGCCTAAAGCAAAAGTTTCTTCTGCTTTGCAAGCAGTGCAAGTCGGTTCTCTGCTGTCGAGTCAGTCCTGCACAGAAGGCTGCCGTTGTGGCTATGGTCAAGAACGGTCTCGATGTCATGACTCTTTCCATTGGCGACGGTGCCAACGATGTTGCCATGATTCAGGAAGCCGATGTTGGTGTCGGTATTGCTGGTGTTGAAGGCCGTCAAGCGGCCATGTCTTCTGACTATGCTATTGCTCAATTCCGATTCCTTCAGAGACTGGTGCTCGTCCATGGTCGATGGTCATACCGCCGTCTGGCAGAGAGTATCAGCAATTTCTTTTACAAGAACATGGTCTGGACCTTCTCCATTTTCTGGTACGAGATCTATTGTGATATGGATATGACCTATCTCTTCGACTACACGTACATTCTCATGTTCAACCTCTTCTTCACTTCGGTCCCTGTCGCTATTATGGGTGTTCTGGATCAGGACGTGTCTGACAAGGTATCGTTGGCTGTTCCTCAGCTCTACCGACGAGGTATCGAGCGACTGGAGTGGACCCAGCTCAAGTTCTGGTAAGTAAACTGTCCTTGATATCGATGCTCTGTGCTAACTCGGCTAAAGGCTCTACATGATTGATGGTGTTTATCAGTCCATCATGGTTTTCTTCATTCCGTATCTTCTGTTTATGCCTGGCACCTTCTTGACTGGCAATGGTCTTGGCGTAGAGGACCGCCTTCGATTTGGCGCCTACGTTGCTCACCCCGCCGTCATCACGATCAACATGTACATTCTGATCAACACCTATCGTTGGGATTGGCTGATGGTGCTCATTGTTGTCATCTCTGATGTATTCATTTTCTTCTGGACTGGAGTGTACACTTCCTTCACCTCGTCGGCGTTCTTCTATGGTACTGCTGCACAGGTATATGGAGAGGCAACCTTCTGGGCATGTTTCTTCCTTGTACCTGTTATCTGTCTCTTCCCACGATTTGCCATCAAGGCTCTTCAGAAAGTGTACTGGCCTTACGATGTTGATATCATTCGTGAGCAGGAACGAATGGGTAAATTCGCACATCTCTACCAGGCTGAAGAGACCAGTGATCCTCTCACTGCAGACACCAAGAGTGACAAGTCCAAGTCATCCAAGAGCTCAAGGAGGTCAAAGAAGATGCCTAAGCACGTGGCCTATGGCAGTGTCGATGAGGATCTACGACCCATTTACCCTCCCTCAACAGCGACACGAACCACGACATACAATCAACACAGCCAAAATGGCAGCGACTCGACCAATTACACGGCGCATCGCATATCGTTGGATGTACCAATGCAAGCCCGGCCATCGATTGACCGAGCGCGACCATCATACGACCGTATGCGAGCCTCGATGGACAGGGTGAGACCCAGCTTTGAAGCCAGCAACGACTTCACATCAGCAGCGAGATTATCAAGGATCGAGTCAAGTCAATCGCAAGGAGGTCGATTCCGCCCTCGACTTAGAGGACTTTCGTTGACTAAGAGTGCCAACATATAATTCCGGCTCTCTGAATCTCGCTGTACATTATGCTCAACTCGACTATTGCTGACGACACGGCTCTGCGGACCCGCTGCCGAGTTTTGTTTCTCTCGACCTTTCCTTGCTTTTGATATCCCAGGCCTCAGACGGCCAGTGATGCACTTACGATCTGCATGAGCGATCTATGAGTTGCTTTCCGCGGTCTTTGTATGCTCATGCGCTTTAGCACGCAACGAAAGCAACGAGGTCGAATTGGTTTTTTTTTTATTATTTCATTTTATAATACCCCCTATGCTTCAACTGCATTGAGCTAGGAGGTTTGCTTTTACACACGCAGGGCGTTATAAAGGGGAAATGCAAAAGGGGTTTTTGTTTTTTTTGTATGAATTGATTCTTTGGTGGCTTCGGTACTATCACTTTTAGTCTTCCTTCATCTCCCATGTTGTTTCACACTTTTCTTTTTAGCATCTTTAGAGCTGGAAAGCAGCAAACCCATTCTCTGACGAAGATACATTTCATTATTGCGCTGTCGAAGAGAGGGAGAATAGCGAGATGAGGAGACCGGTTGATTGATGCTGGGGAGGATGTCACAGGTCAGAAAGCGAGCATGAAGGAAAGAAAGAAAGAATGAGTGGGAGAAGACAGCGGTGTCGATGCTGTAAATAAGAAGCGGTTATATAATCAGGTTGTCATCTCCTTTTGGAGACCAGAGACGAAAATCAATAAGACGATATGCAAATTCAATATTAAGTCCGGGTCCCTTGATGCTGGTGGTGGTGACTTTATATGGCATTCATTCCCTGTAGTGGCCTTACGTTGCTTTATGGTTCGAGTTGATGAGCCTCACAGTCACATTAAGGGCGAGTACGAATACGGCGGGTCGTTTCCCTTGGCGGTCAAGGCTTGGCAGGAACAGTGAGTGGAAGGAAGAGTCCCTGAAGCTAGCTACGGTACGTACCTGCCTATCCACCTAAATCCAATTCAAAGAAGGGGACCTCAGACTCCCACTTTATTTAAATAACACCCATCATCCGACTTGGACCATCTCCAGTTGTCGCATGATATAAAGGGGACGTACAATTTCTGCGGTCAAAGGCTTCTCTGCGTTCTGCGGAAAAGACAAATCGATCATGTCAGAATCTGCAATGGAGAATCAAGAACCATTGCTCCTTACCGCTTGGCGGAGGTGCAATGAGTTTGCTGCAGAGCACAACATCTCGTACGTTATACTTTAGCTACGAGCCATTGACCTTGACCTACAAGCTAATTCACTCTTCACAGGCAATCTATAGTCTCTGCCGTTGGGACAGTCGCTGCAATTGTCGTTGCAACTCTAATTCTCCGCCTCACAAACGCTATCGCTACAGCCTCTATCAAAGCAGCCACCGGTCGTCCTCGCAAGTTCACCGTCCCCGCGCCCAAGATCCCCGAGCCTTACTCCACCGTTGACGCCCCTTCAGTCAGGGTCTCTGGCAGCTCGGCCGTTCAATGCTATGCACCAGCTACTGGCCAGTTTTTAGGACAAATCAACCCTTCTACACCCGCTGCTATCGATCGAGCTGTTGTCGCCGCGGCGGCTGCGCAGAAGGTATGGGCTGAGACAAACTTCGAGGAACGCCGTGCTGTGTTGCGCTCGCTGCTGCAGCACGTTCTCGACAATGCTGAGGACATTGTCAAGATTGCTTGCTTGGACAGTGGAAAGACTATGGTGGATGCTCAGTTGGGAGAGATTCTTGTCACAGCTGAGAAGCTCAAGTGGACTCTCGACCATGGTGAAGCTGCACTGCGCCCGTCTCGTCGTCCTACCAACTTTCTCATGATGTACAAGCGCAACACTGTCCACTATGAACCTCTTGGTGTTGTTGCTGCTCTTGTCAGCTGGAACTATCCCTTCCACAACTTCATCGGTCCCGTCATCAGCGCCCTCTTCTCTGGTAACGGTATTCTTGTCAAGGTTTCTGAGCAGACTGCTTGGTCTAGCCAGTACTTTACCAACATCGCTCGTGGCGCTCTCATTGCCCATGGTCATGATCCTCAGCTTGTTCAGACAGTCGTGTGCTGGCCTCAAACCGCCGGGCATCTTACTTCACATCCTGGTATCAGCCACATCACCTTCATCGGTTCTCAGTCTGTCGCCCATCATGTTGCTGCTAGCGCGGCCAAGAGCCTTACTCCTGTTGTCGCAGAGCTTGGTGGCAAGGATCCCTTCATTGTTCTCGATTCTGCTTCTCGGGACCTCAAGCGCATCACCGAAGTCATTCTCCGTGGAACCTTCCAAGCTGCTGGCCAGAACTGTATTGGTATCGAGAGAGTCATCGCTCCTCGTGCAATCCATGATAAGCTTGTCGAAATGCTTGCTCCTCGTGTTAATGCCTTACGTCTGGGCCCTGAGGCCGATGTCGGCGCCATGATCTCTGACGCCTCCTTTGACCGCCTTGAGGAACTCATCGCTGAGGCTGTCGCCCAAGGAGCCCGTCTCCTTGCTGGTGGCAAACGCTATAACCATCCTGAATATCCCACTGGCCACTATTTCCAGCCAACTTTCCTTGCCGACGTTACCCCTGACATGCGTATTGCACAAAATGAGTGCTTCGCTCCTGTTCTTACTCTCCTCCGCGCCAAGTCGTCTTCCCCTGAAGATATCCTCGCCATCGCCAACGCTCCCAACTTTGGCCTCGGTGCCTCTGTTCACGGTTCTGAGCGTGATCCCAACTTGCAGCCCATCGTCAAGGGCCTCCGCGCCGGCATGGTCGCTGTCAATGACTTCGCCGTCTACTACGCCGTCCAGTTGCCCTTTGGTGGTGTTGGTGGCTCTGGTTACGGCCGCTTTGCGGGCGAAGAGGGTCTACGCGGACTCTGCAACATGAAAGCCATTTGTGAGGATCGCTTCGGCTGGCTGGGCATCCGAACTGGTATCCCTCCCCCAGTGCAGTACCCTATCAAGAGCCAGCCCGATAGCTGGAAGTTCACACACGGTGTTGTGGAGCTAGGCTATGGAGCTCCCTTGAGAAAGCTCAAGGGTCTCGGCAATATTCTCACAAACATGTAGATGGGAGCTATAGAGATCGGAAGAGATGAAAAGACTGAAGACACATGCAGGGTGCCAGGCCAGGACATGCATGTCTTGGCTGGAGTGCAATACGGCACAGGATGAACATAATTCTCATGAGCTATGAGCAGATCAGTTGATTAAAAAACGTAGATAATAAACAGTATCGTTAATGCCAAAACAAGAATAATTCATTGCGCCATGTCATAAATCCTGAGCCTTCTTGAACACCTTTTCCAACCATGACCATCTCATCGTTAATGTCTACTGCAAGCAATTGCTTCACCATCGTCGACCATACACTTCACTCTCTTCCTTTCTAGGCCGCCCTGGCCGTCTCTGAGATGAAGCCGCAGATCTACGCTCGTTGCCATTGAAGCTCTCGTTGCCGACAGCGGAGGGATCAGCGCCAATAACAACTGGGTTCTCCGAAGATCCTGGCTTGAAGAGGTTGATGATCTCATTGATGCCGAGCTTGAGAGCCTCCTTACGCATGCCACCCTCGATAGCCTGCTCGGCCAGCTCGCGCTTCTTCTCCTGCAGCTCGAGGATACGCTCCTCGACAGTCTGAGCGACTGTGAGCTTGTAGATAATTACGTCGACTGTCTGGGTCAGACGATGGACACGATCAATGGCCTGTTCTTCAACAAACTAGCAAAGAAGTTAGCATCGTGATATGTAAAGGGGATTAAGGATAGGAGAACATACTGGGTTCCAGAAGGGCTCGAGGATGACAACTCGGGTCGCTGCCGTGAGGTTGAGTCCTAAACTACCGCACTTCAAACTACACAGCAGGATGCGGGTCTCAGGATCGCCTCTTAACTTTCGTAGACTTTCTTCGCGCTGATCGTTCTTCATGCTGCCATCGTAACGGACAAAGCGGAATCGTTCCTTGCGGAAGAAGGGCTCAACGAGATCAAGCATAGAAGTGAACTGAGAGAAGACAATGAACTTGTGTTCCTTGACTTCACCCTGAAGAATCTTGATGAGCTCTCGAATCTTGGAAGAAGCAAGAACTTGAGGGGAGTTGGGATCGCGGGATGGATAGAAAATGCTGTCGTCTTCTTCAGACGAGACATCTGATTCATTAGAGTCAGAATCAGAGCCAGAGTCAGATCCCGAATCTGAGGCTGATGATCGAGAAACAGCTGTCGTATCAGCAGCGGTGGTATCGGCGGCCGTAGTATCAGCATCTGTGCCTGCATTTGTGGTGTCAGCTGCATGAGATGGCCCATCGTCCAGCGTCTGGGCAGCCATGCGCTTTGTGATATCTGTCAATGATGCCAAGGAGTCATCAGAGTCAGAAGCCGCGTCTGCTTTGCTTTCGTCGTTTTCAATAAAGCTGCTCAAGTTACTCTTGTCTTCAACCTTGCTCTCTTCGTCTTCTGAGTCATCGGAGCCAATCCAGTCGCCTCCGCCCTCAGCATTCTCATCTTCTTCGCCACCAGCCTTTCCTAGATGTATGGAGCCCTGCTGATCCTCGGGTACAAGCCATGAGCCTTCGGCCTCTTCTTCCTCATCATCGCTGTCAACGATGGCGTTGCGATTCCGAGGCTGGCGAGCTGTCTTCTTTGGGGACTCTGCATCCTCGTCATCACTGTCAACTACCGTGTTTTGGTGGCGAGGTCGCCCCGAGGCCTTCTTAGGGGACTCGTCGTCATCTTCATCACCATCGTCAACCTCAACAATTTGCCTGTCAATGACCTTTTCGTCAACTATTTCCTTCTCCTTGTCCTTCTTCTTGCTCTTATCCTTGGGCTTCTTGGACTTCTTGGGTCGCTCTGACCGCTCTGGCCTTACATGGTTGTTAAAGTATGCTAGGTCATCCTGGCAGTCGGAGCAGATGTCTTTGCCTGACTTGTTGTCCTCGGCACTCAAGCCTCGCCCACAAATATTACAGTCCTTAGAAACGATGCCCATACCGGCGAACATGTCAGCCATGGCATCAATGTCCGTATCCTGGGTCTTCTGGGTAGCGTCTGTCGACATTGCGTCTTTGTCCTTCTCCAGCTTGCCCTCAACCAGCTTGGGATGATTACAGGCCTGGCGTAGGCGGAGCAGCAGAGTCAAAGCGTTGGCATAGTTGACTCTGCCTTGCATCATCCGCTCGATACTTCGGTCTGCTCGAGCAGCTAATCGATCGTAGAACTTGCGCTCTGCAAGTGACAATGCAGTCGATATAGTAACAACCTTTCGTTCGGTGACCTTGAAGCCTGTTGAGGACCCCTCACCCTCGGCGGAAGGCTTACCACCAGGGTTAAGCGCGCCAGCTTCCTTGAGGATTTCTTTGGTTCTTCGCTTCATAAAGCATCGGAGAAGACTGTGTAGTCTGCGAATGGCGATGTGACCGCGGCCATTCTTCAGGGGTAGATCAATATGCTCCTTCCACTCCTTGAGATCGTCGTAGGGTCGAATGCGGAGAAATTTGACGAGGGACTGGAGTTCATCGAGGTTGTTCTGCATAGGTGTACCAGACAAGCACCATCGGTATTCGGAGTTTAGGGCGTAGCAAGCCTTGGTAGCCTTAGCATTGCGATTCTTGACTGTATGGGCTTCGTCGAGAACGACTCGCCACCAGTGCAAGCCAAAGCATCCCGCTTTCAATCCATTCTCGGCATCTGAGGAATTGCCATGTTCAGAAACCAGGATTTGATAAGTTGTGATTACAACATCGTAGAGAGCGAGCTCCTTAAATCGCTTCGTACGATTCGGTCCATGATGTACGCAGACTTTGAGGCCATGGGTCTTTTCCACTTTATCATTAATTTCGTGTTCCCATTGTCGAATCAAAGCAAGTGGCGCCACCACCAGGGTTGTCTTTTCGATCTTCTCAAAGTGTTTCTTCCATCCAGGGGCGTCCTTAGCTGGTTTCTGGTTGGTGAGGATGAGTGAAATGGTCTGAAGAGTCTTTCCGAGACCCATGTCGTCGGCGAGAATGCCTCCTTTGGGGACCTTTCCTCGCTTTACAGGGCCAAGTTCTCGTCCTCGCATCCACTCAACTCCTTCGACCTGGTGCGGTAGTAGCTTGACCTTGAGGCCATCCACTGTGCCGTCTTTGGGATCTTTTGGATCTTCTGATTTCTTTTCGCCATCAGCTTGGCTCTGTTCTCCACCCTCCTCCTCGCCCTCCTCCATGCCACCCTCAAGCAATGCCTTCAGATCAGCACTCGCCTTGGCAGGATCTGTGTAGAAAGTCTCCTCGCCGTAATGTCTTGGGGGCGCATATGAGGATGCAACTGGTGGTGCAGAGGGTGCACCTGAGCTGAACATGGGCATTGGTGGTGGTCTTCGATCCTGGTATACCGGACCTCGAGGGCCTGTGATTCTAGCACCGTTGTTGCTGTTGCTGCTTCGGCTATCGAGGTGGTGTTCCGGTCGTGTCTTCTGCCGTATGAAAGGGTCTGCTCTCTGCTTACGAGAGGACATCATCTTGGTAGGATGACCGAATGTGGGTGTGTTGGTTGCGCCGGCGGAATTAAAGGGGTCGTTCATATCTCCCCGAACTTTGCCTTTGAGCGAGCTCATACCACGGACAAGGGCAGTGATATCATCGTCGGGAGACAACTCGCGGGACGTATTCTCCCCATTCAGAGTGATGGAGTTTAGAGGCACCTTGGGAGGCGCCCGTTCGTTGACCATGGCGTCGAGGTCTCGAAGAGCAGTAGAATCACTGAGACGTGTCTTGGAATGCGTTTGGCGTGGGGCAAGTTTGGAGAAGTCAGGTTGTTGTTTTGATGAGAGGGTCGTTTGTGGTTTAAATGCAAAACGACCACCGGGCTTTGGTTTATTGATATGTTTATTAGGCGACCGGTTTGAAAGGTCGTCAGGGTACTTCATTCATACGCCGGGCGGTGAGTGTCGTCGTGAGGGTATGTGCAGTTTGGTGAAGCCGTTGAGTACAAGGGACTTTGCATGAGCGTATCGTTTATCGTCCAAAAATGACATAATGAATTGCCCCAGCAACGGATTGAGGGTGCCATAATAATGAGTCTTCAGCAGTCCAAGTTTTGGTGAACGGTATCTCTGATATTTATGTCACTAGCGCATAACCCCTCTATACGTGGCCCGCGTAAAGCACTGTGAAACAGGTAACCCCGCGGTACTGAAGGTCCCCTTCTACCTGTACTGTCATTGGACCCTGTTCATAAATGATCTTATGTATTTTATGCAAGTCTGATCTCAAGCTTTGAAGTCATCAGTAACATCCACCAATAATGAGCCATCCTTAACGTCTTACAGTCTGAAACCTCACTCTCATAGAATTTGAGTCCGTAACACAGTCATAATCTTTATTAAGTGCTCTTCACAGCGTGCCCGGGATCTATCAACATGAAAGCATTGTCTAACCATTTACTCACGTCTTGTTCACCTGAGACTTAATGTCATTGTCTTGAGATTTGTGAAAGAAAGGCCTTGAAGGTATAGGCAATAAAATAAACCATTGACTACAAACAGCCCTGGTGATGATAGTTGCGCTTCTATCAAGACCAATACGCGCACTTTTAACCCTTGTTCACTCCTGGATAGTATTAAATCATCGACAATCACGTTATGTTGAACGATATCAGCTTTTCATAGTTCGTGAGAATGGGGTGAAGGATGCAGAACTCTTTAGACTTGAAAGCTCGTTCATTCTTACAAGAACTCATAATACAGATATCCTGTCCATCAATTCCCCCCCTCCCCCCCAGAGTACGGAGCAATTTGGAACCTTGAAATGATAACGCTCAGCAATAATTAAAGGTGGTTTTCCTCTTCCACAAGTCCTCCCGTTATATACAGCCCGGCCTCTTTGCTTACTATGCCAGAGGGACAGGAGCAGGGGCCTCGGTACCAGAGGCCTGCTTACCACCGACGGGAGGGAGGAACATAGGGAGGTAAGTAACAGCAAGGGCCATAACTGCGTCCCGTTAAAACGTATTCTCGATTCTCGAATGATAAAGGGGTGGTCTTACTGGACATGCCAACGGAGAAGTATCCAGGAGTGGTGGAGTTCTTCTTCGAGTCCTCGCTCTCGCCGAGCCAGCTCTGGATAGAGAAGACAACTGACGCCCTATTACCAAGTCTTGTTAGCGACCCGGCCGCATATCATATCTCGCTTCGATTCGCATCGCATCGCGCCACATCGCTGCATCCTCAAAGCTCGTTTGGCAAACGTACCATCCAACCATCTTGTTGCGCGTAAACATAGCAGCCATTGGCAGGGTAGTAGACATCGTTGAGGAGAGATCAGTCGAGTCACCTGAGCCCTTGGGCTCTTGGTAAGGGACGACTGTCACGCAGTTAGCTTCAAGCCGCAATCGTGATGATCGAATTGTGCTTCGTGCGCAGGGCGATTGACTGATACTTAAAGTTGGAGGGTAAACGTACTTAGGTCAACTCTTCTGGGGTCCTTGGTAGGCGACATATTTGCTGCTGTGAATGAGGAGGAGTGACGGTTGTTCAATGGTTGTCGCAATTACCTCTTAGGTCGCGCGACCTGTCGTCTCGGGGGAGGCTTGAGTTGTGGCGCTTCCTTGAGTGGGGTAGCGTGGCGTAGACATGACCTACCTAAATAGGAAATGGCTTCTTATACAACAGGCATATCATTACATTCTCTGCCTACGATCGAAGAATCAGTCATCAACAGTAGAACATGAATATTCACATTATAGAAGCCCTTCACCAGCCGCGTTACCCCGGGGCAGACATTAGAATGGATGAATTCAGACATCTCTTTCGTGTATATATACATAACGGGTATCCTCCCAGGTCATCAGCAGCGTACTAGACATGTATCATGACAACCCAACCCAAGACAAAAACTTAACCTTGTACCCATTTCACAAACACAGCATACTCCCACGACATAAACGCCAAACCATACGCTCGCTACAACATAGGCGAGCCTTTCCTACTCCACCCTAATGATAACCTTCCACTGTAATGCGCCAGCTTCACGAATAGCACAAGCCAGGCATCCTCGCTTTCGTCGACTGATGATGGCGTTCCAGCCCTTTTGGGCGCAAAGAGCACGAACCAGGATTTCCATGTCGGAGCCAAACTGCCGTTTTCTGGACTCGAAATGCATCTGTTCCGCAGCAGGAAAACTACCTCTTCGCTGAACAATATTATACTTTGAGGTAAGTCTCTCAATCGTGGGAGATTGAGGAACCTCGGACAAGTTGGTGATACAGTCAATAACAAGCACTCGTTCGCTACCCATACGCGAAGGTGAACGCCGGTGAGTTTGAGGAACAGCCAGAAGCTCCGAAAGGGGAGCATGCTGCCGCTTTAGAAGCTCCGAAATATGAATAACAGTGTAATTATAATATTTGTGTAAGGGATGGCCTGACCAGAGTTAGCTGCGAGACATGGACCAGAAACCGTTTGGTCTTACCTGTTCTGTGAGCAGGTCGAGAACCTTGCCCAAATGTGTCAGACCCAGACACATCGATCTGCTGGATTGTCGGACTTGATGGCGACTTAACAAATCGAACGCGATGAGACGGCGAGCATGGGTGTGCCGTAACAAAGTTAATGTCATAGGACAGGGAGAATGACAAGTTCTCAGCCGTAAATCCGTCAATCGACACAGCAAAGTTGACATTGGCTGGGAATGACAACAACTCGGGTTCCTTGTTGCTCACACTCGCAGGGGGTGTCAGCTTGGTGAAGGGCGTGGACTGAATTGAGTTGGCCGGAGAAAGAAGCTCAAGCGACCGTAAAGTAACGCTGATCAACGGTGGCGGCGTAGAGTAGTTGTTCTCATGGGGAATTATAAAGTCGGCAGGGAACACAGAATATTCATCGGCATCTCCGAGGATGGATGATTCTCGTTCAACTCGCTTCTTTGCCCAAAGTCTCGCTTTCTTGCCCAGATGCGCCTTGTCCTCTGCTGTCTGTAAGCTTAATGCCCATCTCATCCGATACATAACAACTTACCAGCCACTTCTTCTACTTCAATGTTGACCCAACCTTCATCTATGCCCAGGGGTAGAATGTCGCTGGAAACCCATCCCATACATTCGGCTGATCCCTGACCTGCCGCAATAACTCGGCCTACGATGCATGACGTGCTCCAAAAGCTCTTGCCAGAATAGACGAAACCTCCACAGAGGTTAGCGAACGAACCCAAACGCTCCATGGCTTTGCTATCGTTTTCGAGAAGCGTGGCCATCAGGAAATGGCACATGCCATCTCCAGGGAGTACCAGACCATAGATATATGATTTCGAAAGCCATCCGGAGGGGTGAAGCGCCGCTGCAAGCTTTCGTCGCTGTGGTCGAGTCTTGTCCTTCTGACTACCAGGACGATCCCAGGCACCAAAGTAAAGTCCCCGCTTAGATCCATTCGACTCGGAAGACTTTGATGATCTCTCAGAGGCATTCGTAGGTGCAGGCTTAGGCACAGAATTAATAATCGATTGACGAGCGTTCTTCGCGATAAGTCCCTCGTATGTGTCGATGTTGGGCCAGAGTAGCTTCTTCGCAAAATGAGTAAGCCCATCTACCTGCTGTTGTGGGTTGCGGCCTTTAATAGTATAGGTATGGCTTGCTGTCGTCTTGTCTTCATGATGTTGACGGACGATAAATTTACTGAAGAGGGCGCCTAGCCAGCCGGTCGCAGGCGGAGGAGTAGCTGTTCCCTTTGTCTCGGAAGCGTCGCTTGGTGGATCCTCTTTGATTTTCTCAATCTCGATATTGTCGAGCCAGCTCCTGGCAAGATGAAGCGACCACTTGACCATGGGAGTGGCGGCTCTTTCGAAGTGAACAACATCTACAGGTCGGAAAGCTTCGACTCCATATTCTTCACCCTCGGTGATAGCATCTAATCGAATGAGGAGTTCGGTGGCAACAAGAATCTGCATGAGAAGCCAATACTTCTCCTCGGCCCGTTCGCCGGCACTACTAGCGTCGTGGATGGAAGAAGTATCCTCAAGTTCATCATTGTCTTCACCTCCCCAAAGAATCTGACCCAATCTGATCCTCCATTCGACATGGGTGAAGTCAAACCAAACATTGGCGGTGCCAAGACACTTGATCAAGGCATTAATCTGGTTGGTCAAGCTATAGTGGTCGCGTTTATCGACAACGGAATTGCATGGCCGCATGAAAGTGTGAAAGAGATCCTGATAAGTCTGGACGGAAGTTTTCTTTCGAAGATCATTGACCCGGTATAGCTCGGCGTTTCGCTTGAGACGATCCAGCAGCTCTGTCTCAGGGAGACGACGCAGGTAGCCCAGAGAGGAAAGCATGCGCTCACGTGCCTCCACAATGGCATGGGCCTTTTTACCAACGCTGTCAAAGCCGAATTGCTCTTCTTCGAGGGCATCGCCAACGGCGAGTTCGAGGGCAGCTGAGAAGCCCATGGTACCCTTCTCTAGACCTTGCATGCTCAACATGTTGGGACGTTCCCGACAGCGGATGAAGAAATGGGCCTTGCGAGAGTCAACGGCCTGTGCCCGGGCAGCGGCATCCTGATTGAGATCTCGAGTTAGATGAGGCCATGCTGTAAGACCACTCCAAGCTCTATCTTCAATTTGGACATGATCAGTGAGGTCGCGAATCTCCAATGCCTCATCAAAGGGGAATGCGACGCTGGGATTAGGGGCGCCAGAACAGTGGCCCTCGCTACGGGCAAAGTACTGAGGGGCTCCAGAGAAGAGCTTCTCGATCTCTGAGTCGGTAAGAGTAGACATGATTCTATTCAGCTTCAAGACGGGCTTGGACGGAGGAGAAGTGGCATTTTCCTTGTCGGACAAGGCACCCGAGTTCGGCAGAGGAGGTGGAGGAGGAAGAGGCTTGTTCTGATCTGGTGGTGAACGCGGGGAAGTGAGAGCCCGTGGTGGTGAGTGTGACGGCGACTGTGACGATGAAGGCGTCTTAGTCCCTTGAGATCTGCCTGTAGAAGCTCGAGGTGGGGCTTTACGACGGAAGCCTCGGTCGGGAGGAGCGGCGCGTGGCGGAGGAGAATGCGGGGAGGAAGAGAAGGCTTTAGCTGGACTTGTAACAGTTGATGTTGTCTGTTTGTAGCGAAGGGAGCAATTAGTTCTGAGACAGAAGTGCAGTACAGTACAGTACAGTACAGAGGGGGAGGGAAGCAATTGAGGGAACAGACAGGGTCACAAGGAACTAAAATATAGTGCTAAAAAGGAAAAAAAGTCACCGAGTCAATTGACATGAATGACCGGACATTGGACCATCATGACATCTCTAAGCCGGATAATACCATCGGTCAAAGGCGCCCCCGAACTGAGCCCATTGAGGGGCCAATTCAGGGCCCTGAACGGCAATCGCATGACCTGAGAGAGAGAAGATCGCCCTAGCACGCGACAGTGGTTGGCTGGGCTGAGCTGGGCTGAGCAGTGGTCTGATCTTCCATTGTCTCCCAGAATGCGCTTTGATCAGGGATGACATACAGTTATGAAGGAGATGGTGGGTGTCTCATCAGGAATAATTCCAGTAAATAACTTATCAAAATCTTGACTTACATCTCCGTTGCCCTTTTCCTTGTCTCGCCCAGTTCGATCTTTTACACGGTTCCTCGCTCGTGCAAGTAAACCATGGAGTAGATAGTCTGGCCTTGTAAAACGACCCCCGGTTGATGCAGATGCACCAATGGCACCAGAATCGTCAATGAGATCGTTCTCATCGTTTTCGTTTGGAACATCTCCATCAGCAATTGGAGATTTGGTCGGTATTATGCTGGTGGTGGCTGTAGTTGTATTTAATGTGGCGCCGCCCTGGGGTAGTAGTAGTGCCCGGGACTTTTGCCGTTCATGTCGCTTTTGCGATGGCGCATCCTTATTCTCAGCAGTCAATTTTGGCCCTGATTTGTTGGTGGTGTCGTTGAAACTGCTCGTGACAGATGGCCGTGGAGACGGCCTTGGTTTGCTCAATGGCATACTGCGATCTCGTTGCGATGGATCGCAGGTCTTCCATGTAAGAACAGTTAGTATCGATGCAATGCGGGCATCCGCCGCCGAAGGATCAGATTGATCTTGTTGATCGTGGGCAGGTCGACCTGGATACAAGCACCATCAAGCCCACTCCGGATAAAGGAGACAGGCTATAAAGCAACAGCTTCTTGTTTGATGGGTTTCCCTAACTACTGCCGCCGTCAGTCAGTTAGGTGCTCCTTTGTCTGCGTTGCGTGGGTTGTTGGACTGCGGTCTGAACTGGCACCAGAACATCCAGCTTTCAACAACTCCCCAGGCATTTGTATTGGAATACGAAAGGGGACTCGAGGTTCAAAAGGATGACTCGGCGGAGAACAGAATGGAGCCATTGCTGTCATTGCATCCGTATTGCTATACAAATATAGGTCTTTGTTGGTTGATCCACGTACGTACGTATGAATATGCTAAGCACACAATGCTTTCCCTTTCCAGGAGTTCAACGGCTGTCTCAGGTCATTGGTGCACAATCCCATGCAGCAGATATAATCCCCTCTCTCCCGAGTCTCTCTTGTGTCCGCTTCTTTTCTTGTTCGTGCAACATGCAGCTGTCCCCACGCGTGGATATCCAGGAGGCCTTGGAAGCGTGGGCCTTGAACCAACCTGGACGATCGTGGATTGCTGTTTGTACCTGGGTAATATGGGTAAAACGGAAGATCTGCGATTCGAATCGATGTGAGTAGATACAGGTCCGAATCCAATATGGAAGCCGGCATAGCACCCAGGACCCGGTCTATATACATACTGTATGGTACAGTCCTGTACGCTCCAGTCTTACAGAGCAGCGGAGTGCGGAATACCCAATGATTAGAACAGAAGTTTCAAAGGCCCCCGGCATACGTGGGCAAGCATTGATCCTTGCAAGAGAAGGTGGACGCAATCTATCAATCATGCCAGAGCTTGTCTGCCGTACGAATGTTGGCAAACATCAAATTAGACTCACTAGTGTGTGTTACATGGGAAACATGCTAAGAAAGTTATACTTAGCCCTTGTGATGTGCGTCAAGACCCGACGATAGAGTTCATTATGTAACAAGGTAGGTATATGAACTGCTACGGTCGATGTTGTCGTAGAATGGCAGCACTGTACGTAACCAGGGTTCATTTCCTGTCATCCGGAGGGAGGCCTTTTTAGCCTCAAACTCGAGAATCCTGATGCTGGAAGTTGCGGGAGTTTGTGGGCCTCTCTGGCGGAAGCCAATGTATAAAAGTGGAGGGAGTAAGACGACGTGTTTCGAAACCGCCGTTGCGAGAAGCGAACCAGGGAGAATTCGCCGCTTCGGCAAAGGCCTGGCATTGTAAAGCAAAAAGTCACAAGACAAGACAAGGTATAAATAAGCCTTTCAAGGTGAATAAACGGACAAGTTGGAAATCCCTCGTTAGTTTCGGAATGTCATCTTGCCGAAAATAGTACAAATCATATCGGAACTTTACATCGATATCGCGCTTGGTCAGCAACATTAGTTCTGATAATCTGAGACTTGGGACTTCTTGAGATCAGACATATGATCGATACTTGACGTGTTTGCCATTGACCATGTATCAGCCCTGCAGTCCTTACAACCTTCTTCCAAGTCAGAGTAACCCTGAATGTTGAGCGTTTTCGTTATCCGCATACGGATACTGGTCAAGGATAAGGACGTGCGCACGTATTTTGTACGTGCGTTCCGTTTTTCCTGCGCTGCCCCGTATGAACCTTGTTTGTTATTGACCAAGCAGAAGGAGCTCACATTCGCAACTTTGTCCGTTACAAGTATGGACCGGAAATGCTGCTCAATTGTGTTGGTAGCCGATATCTATGTGTGATCCTCAATGGTCATGACCACCATGAGGCCTTTCCGTGAGCTTTTCCAACGGCTCCTAGCGTTTCCACTCCGGCCACCACCATTTTCGTCGTCAATGGGGCCCTTGTGAAACAAGGGGCGCAATCCAGCTGTAATTGTTCGGCCCATTAAACCTTCGAAACACGCGGCTACTTACAGCTGCGGATTTATTTGCCTTTCCCATCCCAATTGTTCATGCCGGACATTGGGCATCGCGCGGACCCCGTGATAGTCCCGTAGTGACGGGAAGCACAGTAAAAGGAAATCGGGTAACGGGATAGCCGCGAGGGCGCAGACTCCAGCCCACTTGACCCATGTTGGTATGCTTCTCTTCTTCTTTCTTCCCTTCGAGGCATGGCAGAGATGCCTGCACTTCCCCCAGCCTATGTGTATCAATCGTAATTTCGTTCACGATGTCTTGCCTTACTCAAGACCATCCCGAATGCGACACACCAGTAATGATCCCTGCGTCCTGTCGATTCCACGGCCCGTCACGCTCCCAGTTGATCAGTCGATGAAACAGAACATCTTTTTTGAATCAAGACAAACTGCTCCCCTAGCCCTTCAGCGGAAGTCGGTAAGTGGGAGATCTGGGACGCCCAGGCATTGGTAAGACTTAAATAAGCATGTTTCGTAGCTCAAGCTGGAGGCGTGTCATGCACAACCACAAGTAAATACTTGGGATCGGGTACAATGACCAATTCTTGCTTCCTTGTTCGTAACCGTAGAAGCTTCAGCTCATCCTACTGAGTGTTAGCTATGAGCCTGTAACGCCTGTGATGATCCTCACTTCACCATCCAGCTCCTGAATCAAGCTTCCGGAGCTATTCACATAGTTCCAGACGATCGCGGCGAATTGCTCGACTCCTTTCGTTTCGCTCTCCTCTAGTGCAGGACCTTCATTGGAAAATGATGTTGCAGTCGATGTGGTTCGCGTCTTAGAGGTCTGGAGAGCGTCGATTTGTCCGCTGGTTTTCAGGATAGCGCCGGTGGTTCGGTCAAGAACGATGCTGGCTTTAACACCAGGTTTCTTTGACAATCGGCCGAGCTTCTCCTCAAGGGCGTCGTGGCCATTTGTCTGTCCATTTATTAGCTTCGCAAAATATCTCAAGACTCTTTTCGCAGCATACCAGTGAAGATTCAGCCATTCTGGTATAGTAGCTTAATATGGTGATATTTGATACCGCTGGTTGTCGCGATGTATTGGTCTAGCGTGGTCGGACCTTGCGTTAAGGTGACGCCGCGGGGCAGGATGGAGGTTCTGCCATCCGACACCGCCAAAATTTTAGAACCCCAACAGGGAAAGTAGATCTTATCAGTTGAAGATCAAAGACTCCAAACCTCAGTACTCCGTATAACAAAGGTCATCTTGGGATTGACCTGACATTGCGCGGTATCCAAACTTTACTTGTTCTTTTATACATCTGTTCTAGTGGTCTCGACAAACCGACATCATGGGTTCCAGCAACAAGAAGAAGCGCGAGAAGCAAAAGGACTTCCAGGTATGATTTTAATCACTACGGAATTGATGAAGTGCAACTCACCAACAGGATGCAGAAACCGAAGTTCAAGGTGGGGAAGGATAAGCCAAAAGCGTCCAATTTCACAGATACAAGTTTCAAGTCAAAGGGTGAGGAGATTTGTGTATGTTTCCCTTCAATTTACTGATGGGTCATAGCTATTGTGATGGGGCATCAATCACTCTCAACAGTCGCACCTGATGTCGTTCAACAGTTCAAACATAATCTCTCACTCGCCTCTTCTTCAAAGTCAGATAAACAAAGACGAGAAGCATTGGCTTATCTTACTTCACAACTTTCAGCAGAACCCCCTGTCAATCCAGTGGGAACACATGCGGTTCTCGCCAAGCTGCTTCCACTCATCTCAGATAGCTCGACGCCAGTTCGAAGTCAACTTCTCAAGCTTTTCAGAGAATTACCTGCCGAAGAGGTCAGACACAGTGTGGAACAAGCCATCTTGTTTATCCGGGCGGGTATGACGCACCTCTCGGCGGACATCAGCAATGACTCTCTTGGTGTAATGGAATGGATTTTGGATGTTGCAGAGAACGACTTAATCGTGTGTCCTGGTGGTTGGGTGAAGACCCTAAACAGTTTCTGTGCCATGATGGGGTGGGCATTGACAAATTCAAAAGCCGGATGGTCTTCTGGTTCAAGGTCCGGTCTGCGGGCAAAGGATGCTTCGACATATGCCCGACAAATCGCCACGCTATCACGGTTCGTGGGGGCTGGTCTTCGGCCTGAAGCTGAGATTCCCGAGTACGAGTCAGAGATATGGGACAACTTGTATCGAATCCCACAAGACTCGAATGCATTCGAATATCTCAACCTTTATGGTAGTCGACGAGACGAAGAGGGAGAAATGTATTCCAGTCGGGATGCCAGACAACGAGTATTTGAGCGAAGGTTCTTGGAGGCAGTGCTGAAGGGTACAGACCAAGCGAAAAAGGAGGGTGGTGCTACTGGTCGAGCGGCAGCTGGCCTCGACAAAGTTCTTCAAGACGGAATGGGCGAATATGAAAGTTCGACGGCAATGGATACCCAGGATCTCCTGAGCCTCTGGTGAAAGGTTCAAGCTGACCTCATAATAAAATTTACTGGTTTATTACGTGAAAATAGTCACCCACCCTGTTCGAGCTCAGCGTTGTTGTTAGTAACAACTTTTGTGTGATCACTACAAGACTTGTCTACATTGAGCTGTGTAACTTGCGACAGTACAAAGATCTGGATTTCTTGTTTGTACTGAACGCATCTGGGCCAATCGAAGAATATCCAAACGGGTTACTACATACCTAGCTAGGCTGATTGGGTAATGTTTGGTGTTTGAGTGTTTAGACCCAAACCCATCAAGTTCCTCCAACTTTGAAGATGTGATAACCTTATGGAAATGAAATCATCATTGTCTGATCTTGTAGCTCTGCAGTTTACTGGAACCCTAGAGCATACCACATGCCAGCGGTTCCTTCATACCGCGATGATGTGATATCAGACCAGCATTGTATTCTTGGCAAAGGCATAACTTATTGTTAGTATTTCATGGTAGATATGCAGAAGTAAAGTCACAATCACAAGAACAACATGGGCAGCCATTGTTGTCACTAGCAATGTTTCAGGTGAATGTGATAAGGTATAAACATTTGGTATCAATATTGTTCCTCAATTCGTCAATCGTCAATCTACAACTTGACATCAGAGCTTCGTAGATTTCAACCAACTCCAAACTGTTCAACATCAAGAGTAACACTCACAGAATAATCCTTCTCCGTGTTCACTCACCAGAAACGATCTCTACTCCTAGGGGCTTGAGTCTCCAATCTAGGTACAGTTTCCCTTTGTTGTGTAGATTCCTGGAAGTAACTTAGCACTGGCAGTGGCGGCCGGCCGGCAAACTGCTGCCCTCTGACACGGGCACCTGCCTCGAACGGCAAACAAGAAGCAATTCCTCCCTGCGGGCACTTCCATGCCTTAATCCTGAGGAGCCCGTGATTCACAGCGCGCACAGTCGGTGCAGGCAGAAGTACAAATAGCCACTCCTCGACCTCTCTTCTCCTCTCTTCTTTCTTTCCCCTTCCTTCTTCACATCTGCATCTCGACTTCACTTTCGGTCTGCTCATCTCGCCCTCGCTTGAGAAGAGTCGGATATTTCTTTTTCTTCTTCGACTATAACATCAGGAGAGCTACAAACAGGTGTAGTCGCTATTGTTTTGCCAGGAAGTCGTTGCCTGGTATGTTTCTCTTGTTTACGTCCCTATCCCCCCTCGTGTTTTGGCCTATCTCTTTTCTTCTCCTCACGCCTGTTTTGCCTTTCACACTTTCTTATTTGCTTCTCGCATTGCGCGTGATTCTTCAACTCTTGTAGAAACTTAGCTGACCTTCTTTCTCAAAGCACGTCGTTCATCTTTCGTTTCGACCCGCCTATCTGAATCAACCTCTCTCGTTTCGAGACTTTCCAACTCCGAAGTCAGTCATTCAATTTCTCATTCTCCATTCCACTAGTTTCATTATCTTTGAAATATCCATCTAACTATACACCCACAGAAAACACCACCATGGCGGACACTTTCGGCACCGCTGCCATGAGCAAAGCGCTCCCTGGCGTTGGCCAGAAGGACCAAATCGCAACTCCCGGCACTCAGGGATACAATGCGTCACAAGGCAAATGGACTGAGCCCCAGGCTATCGACTACACCTCCATGGCTACCGGTGGTGGTGACCAGCAGTGGGGTTGTAACGCTCGTGCCTATGCCTGGCAGGATGAGTATGGTGATGTCGGTCCCAAGTATCCCGAGCTCGAGCTCGAATTGTTTGGAGATCCCACTACTCGTCACGACCGAGTTGGACTCGACTTTTCTCAGTAAGTTGATACATGCTGTTGGCTTGTGTGTCATCTAACCTTGTCATAGAATTGAGAGCATTGAGGTTCAGCAGGAGGGTCCGACCAAAATCGATCCCATCAGCTCCTTCAGGGACGCTGGCGTCCACCCCGCCATGCTCGAGAACATCGAGCTTTGTGGCTATGAGAACCCGACGCCCATCCAAAAATTCACTATTCCGTCTATTTTAATGGGACACGATGTCATTGGCATCGCCCAAACAGGTATGTGTGACCCTTGACGTGCTTACCGGCATCGCTAACTTGCATTTAGGATCTGGCAAAACTGCTGCGTACCTTATCCCCATTCTCAGCAAGCTCATGGGCAAGGCCAAGAAGCTTGCTGCGTTTCGTCCCAACCCCTTGACGTTCCGCGAGGGTCTTGACGAGGTCACTGCTGAGCCACTTGTGCTCATTGTGGTTCCCACTCGGGAGTTGGCGGTCCAAATCTTCAATGAAGCTCGTAAGCTTTGTTATCGTACCATGCTGCGTCCCGGTGTCGTTTATGGCGGTGTTCCTGTAAAGGAGCAGACCCTTCTTCTCCAGAAAGGATGCGATGTTCTGATCGGAACACCTGGGCGCCTGGTGGACTTTATTCAACGCCCTAAAGTCTTGACCCTACGACGCCTGCGTTACATGGTGATTGATGAGGCTGACGAACTCCTGAATGATGACTGGTCCGAGGAGCTTAACCCAATCTTGTCCGGTGGTGGTAAGTACAACAATATCCATACGCAGACTATCAGAAACTAATTATTCAACAGAACAGGATGAGGGGAACGTCAAGTTTAGCCTTTTCTCCGCCACGTTCCCCAAGGCCGCTCGCGACTTGGCCAAGAACTATCTCGCGGCTTCTCACGTCCGATTCCGCGTTGGCCGTGCCGGAAGCACTACCGCCAACATCAAGCAAATTGTTCTGCAGGCTGAAGCCCACGAGAAGAAGGAGCTTTTGGTCAAGCTGCTTGAGGAGATGCATGGTATCCGTACCATCATTTTCGTTAACAGTCGCCAGGCAGCTGACAACTTGGACGATTTCCTGTTCAACATGCATTTGCCAGTCACGTCGATGCACAGTGATCGGACCCAGCAGGAGCGAGAGGCCGCGATGCGGGCTTTCCGCTCTGGAAATGCTCCGATTCTCATTGCTACCGGAGTGACTGCCCGTGGCATTGACGTGCAGAATGTCCTGCATGTCATCAACTACGACATGCCATCTATCGACTACGGCGGCATCGAGGAGTACACTCATCGGATTGGTAAGATTATCCTCTTCTATCTGGGACTCCCTAACTAACATGGCTAGGTCGAACTGGTCGCATTGGCCATCGTGGTGTGGCCACGTCTTTCCTTTCGGAGCGTGATGAGCCGATGGCCAGTGTTCTCACCCGAACACTGCTGGAGACTAACCAGGAGATCCCTGACTTCTTGCAGCAGTATGTTCCCGAGGGTGAAGCTCGCAACAACTTGAAGTTTGAGGCCGACTCTGACTTCGACCCCAACGACTACGCTGGTGCTGGCGACGCCTGGGGAGGTGATGCTGGCAACGATGCTGGCAATGCCGCCAACGGGGATGCTTGGGGAGGTGGTGGTGATGGCGGCAACACTGGTGGCGGTAATGCTTGGGGTGCGGACAACGGCGGTAAGACTGGTGCTGAGGATGCTTGGGGCGCTGACACTGCTGCTCCCGTTGCCGCTTGGTAAATTTGAGCATTCGTGAGCGGATAACTGGTCAAGCTATGAATGAAGTTGTTATCGACTTTATGGGACATGCGATTTTGGGACTGGGTGAGCATGGCTTTCAGTTGCCGGAGGGCTGAAAAGGAAGCTTGTCGACAGGATGTTCGAAGGATCTGATTGTTCTAGGACATCTCCTAGGTAGATAGATGCACAGAATCTCGCTGAATGGTACCTTGGTACTCTATCTATGCCTTTGCCTACATTAAATGTGTTTGGTTTGACCTTTACTTTAGGCAGTGGGGAATATAAGACTCCGTCAGCATCTCTGAAGTCGTCGAGTCACAAGCAAAATAGACGTCAGAAATCAATGGCAAATGCTTTTCTATTGCAGAAATCGTAAAGCTTTGTTCATGCTCACATTACACACAATCTCATGCTATATAAGAAATCCCTTGGACGAAAAAAGAAGAGGGCAGCCGGTTGATGGCCGCCATGTAATGACGCCGGACCCAGATGATAAACAGTTGCTCGAATTTGTCATGACCAATCGCAAAAAAAAATCGCTTTCCCTTTTGTTCTTTTTTACTCTCATTCTTCCTCTTCTTAGACAACGGGACCAGCCTTGACGACGTCCTCGGTAGCCTCGCTCTCGTACTTGGTGAAGTTCTCGCGGAAGAGCTTGCCCAGCTTGACAACCTCGGTCTTGAAGCTGTCCTCGCCAGCGGTCCAGGCCTTGGAGGGGTTGAGAAGCTCTGAGGGAACGTTGGGGCAGGTCTTGGGAACTTGGAGGTTGAAGACCTCATAGTTCTCATACTCGACATTGGCAAGTTCGCCAGAGTGGATGGCGTCGAGAATGGCACGAGTGTACTTGAGAGGGCATCGCTTGCCACCCTGAGCGAAACCGGCACCGACCCAACCGGTGTTGAGGAGCCAGGCGTTGGCCTTGTGAGTCTCGATCTTGTCGGCAAGCATCTTGGCGTACTTCATGGGGTGCAGAGCAAGGAAGGGCTGGGCGAAGCAGCTGGAGAAGGTAGCCTGGGGCTCGGTGACGCCGTCCTCAGTACCGGCCATCTTGGAGGTGTAACCAGAGATGAAGTGGAACATGGTCTGGTTGCGGTCGAGCTTGGAGATAGGGGGCAGAACACCGCGGGCGTCGCATGTGAGGAGGATGATGTTGGAGGGGGAGTTGGGAGACAGGCAAGGAATCTTGGCGTTGGAGATGTACTCGATGGGGTAGGCACATCGGGTGTTCTCAGTGAGGGTGGCATCGTCGTAGTCGACCTCACGGGTGAGAGGGTCGAAGACGACGTTCTCGAGGACGGAACCGTATCGGATAGCGCCAAAGATATCGGGCTCCTTCTCGGCGGACAGGCCAATGGTCTTAGCGTAGCAACCTCCCTCGATGTTGAAGACACCGTTGTCGGACCAGCAGTGCTCGTCGTCACCAATGAGAGCTCGGTTGGGGTCGGCGGAGAGAGTGGTCTTGCCAGTTCCAGAGAGACCGAAGAAGAGTGTAACATCGCCGTTCTTGCCCTCGTTGGCAGAAGAGTGGAGAGTGAGGACGTTGTGCTTGATAGGCATCTCGTAGAAGAGGACAGTGAAGACACCCTTCTTCATCTCACCAGCGTACTCGGTACCGAGGATGACCATCTCCTTCTGCTCGAAGTTGATGGCAACGGAGGTACCAGAGGTCATACCCTCAGTGTATCTGTTGGCGGGGAACTTGCCGGCATTGTAGATGGTGTAGTCGGGGTGGAAGTCCTTGAGCTCCTCTCGTGAAGGTCGGATAAGCATGTTTCGCATGAAGAGAGCATGGTAGGCACGGGCGCAGATAACTCGGACTCGGATGCGGTACTTCTCGTCCCAGCCGGCGAAACCATCGATGACATAGATACGGCTTCGTGTGTTGAGGTAATCGACAGCACGTTCTCGGTTGATCTTCCAGACCTGTAGTGATAATATTGTCAGTCATTAATTCTAAGTTGGAGCTGTGCAATGAGATCATCAATGGGGACAAGACAAACGGCAGCCTTTCCAGAAACGGCAAAGGGCAGCCGTGTCGGGAAAAATCGTGGTCGGGAAGAAAAGAGGGGCTTGTCACGGCCGAAGGCTTCGGGGGACGGGACTTGAAGTCTCGGTCTGAAGCCGTGGGCAATTGCCAGAGTGGAAGGTGAGCGTGTGAGGACTTTGCGGGGTCAAGGTCTAGCGATTGCCGATCCCATGACACCCTCCCTCAACTTCTCTTGACCCTCCCCGGAAAGACCAGGGGAACAAGCGAACCAGGTCCAACAGCGCTAGACCAATGAACCACTAGAGAAGTCCTCGGCCATGCATCTACCAACCAGCGACCAGGCAATTGGGTAAGAGAATAAGCACCAGTGGACAAGCCATCAAAGCCATGACGCTCATGCTCCGGGTATCCTCGGGGGAAGGCCAATTGAAGTCGCTGGAATGGAGATGCTCTTCCGGCGCGGGTCTAGACGTTTTGTTTCGGCTCGCTCGTCTTGGTTATGGGCGTAAAGCTCGTGAAGTAGGCAAATTTTCTCGTGTTCCCAGGGCAGGGAAACAAGAGTCAAGATGCCACGCCGCAGCCAAGTAGTCACAGTCGATCCGATCGTGTAGAATGTATCAAGGAAAATGCCGATTTAATTCTTACCTCAGGAGTCATGGGCTTGTTGACAGGTCCCCACCTATTGTTCTCACGTTAGTTTGTCTGCTCATGACGATTCATGTGCGCAACAGACGGAACTCTGTTGCCGCTATCCGGGTTATCACTTACCAGATGTTGTCCTTGGAAGAAGCCTCCTCGACAATTCGCTTGTCAAGAGGGGATCGACCAGTCTTGGCACCAGAGTAGGCAGTCAGGGCACCGCTGGAGGTGATAGCGGTACCGGTCTCGTAGACAAGAGCATCCTCGTAGAGGGCAGCGACTGAAGGGTTGGGAATCTGAGAAATGACATGTTAGTGACAATTTATTTCGCTGTTGACTGGAGAGCTTCTTACAATGGCGACACGGTCATAATCGATGTGAGCCTTGTCGTGGAGCTCCTGTTCCAGCTCGGTGTGCTCCTGGTGAGGACTGTAAAGCCCGTGTTAGTGGAACCGTTTGTGTGTGATTGATCAAGTATCATGAGGAACGTACGTAACACCGGTAGGGTGGAGGGAAGTCTTGTTAACGTTGTTGGGAAGCACTACGATGAAGTCAGTATTGGTCTTGAGACTCGTGTAACGGTAGCCGTTTTGTTTGGTGCTCCATCATAGAGAGTGGTAGAGGGGAGTGGTATCATGACAGGACAGCTCAACTGTCAATGGAAGGACGAAGATAAGACTTACTCTTGAATAAACCGGTTCCTGAAGCCTTGATTTGTGTGCTTGGACCTTTGAGAAGTTGATTTGAATAGAGAGAAGCACTTCTTTTGACGGGGTCATTCATGGCTTTTATAAAAGCTTCACGAGCAGCTCGAGATTTGATAGTGTACGCCCTGGGGTGTGAGGTTCGCGGTGTGCTCCTCCACAAGATAGATAGCGTCCGCTTGCCGGGGTCAGACCCGAGGATGGAGAGGGACAGGGACGGATGGGGAGTGAGGCTGTGACTGGCGGAGACAAGCGCGTAGTGGAGCCGGCGAGGCGTTGCAGGTGACGGGCACGATATTATACCGGAAGAGACCTCTTGATCTTGGTACAAGGTGACGGGATAGGACACCTGGGCCTTGGCCTGGGCTTGAATTTGGGGCCATACCCGAAGACACGATCTGGACGCCAGCTCTAATGATGGGATATTGCGGGACGGAGGGGGTCACGAAACGTAACCCAACCCCGGTCCAAACTCTTCAAACAATGAGCAGAGCGTCAAGGTTTTGGCGGGGAAGACTAAAGACTAAGGCCCAAGTCCAGGAAGATGCCGGAAGACGACAACGACGATAGCAGTGGTCAAGGTGTTCAATAACGGGGAAAACAACCAAAACAACTGGGTAGCAAAAAATGGACGAATGGATCCAATCCTTGGTTGGAGCTGCTGGTCTCGATGTGGACGTGGATGTGGATGATGCCGTGCGGATAGCGCCTTTACATCTGGACGTATCGAATTGACGTTGTTGTGACGGCAAGATACGGTACGGTACGGTAGGATTACTGTGTTTCCAAGACGGTTGATCTCTTTTCCTTCTGGTGGTGGTGGTGGTGGTGAAAATTGAATGGCTAGCAAGCGGCTGATAGTCACGTTGTTGATGGTAAAGGGGTGAAAGGGAGGAAACCGTGATGACGACCATGACGGTACAGTACTCTAAGGTATTTTCCCTCCAGATATTCTTATATACGGGCCTGCAGCCGCCTGATTGAGTAACGTACATGCTGCAAATTCCCCAAATCTCACCTGTAACCGCCTCATAATTCTGAAGTTTGGACAGCTAAATTCACAAAAATTTCCCAGCTCTTTTCCTCACAGTCTGAGTCGTGAGGCTATCGTCTTGTTCGTGGTGCATTTTAAGCAAATGTGTCGTCATGATCGCCGGTCCCAGGGCCCCCCAAACTAAAATACCACAGCGACACGAGGCCCGCGATATTCCGGGAAAAGAGACTCGGCTGCATATCAATTACACATTGAATACTTTCTAGACCCCGTTTTGCATGCATGCATATACGCACATGCTTGCAATGCATACAGTACTGTTGGTTTATTGAGAGGTATTGATACGATTCGCTGTTGACGTTGGCAACCATATGTAACTGAAATGCTCTGCCTGTATTGTCGCGAATGCTTATACATGTCTTGTTGTCCGGGCCACCTACCGTATATAACCGTGCCCCTGCCGGCTCGTAACTCCTAGCAAGGGCCGAGTCGCAGTTATCATCATATCTCACTATCGTCGGGACAGTACGGGGACAGTTATCAATGAGCTCTTCGAGGGGTCAAGTTGACGAGGTATTCGGACATTGAATTCCTTTAGGTTTCGGGACTAGGAGTGAGGCCTGCAACCCTCGTTGGTCTTTATCGCGAGGGTGTGCCCAATTGGACAAGGGGGCTGTTGGTCCTGGTTTGTCTCTTGATACATACAGATGATGATATTTCCTTGCTCGCTCGTCTGCCTACTTGTAGTGGATGGCGATGGAAAGCTGTACATGCTGCACATGTGGGGTGGCATTGAAGGCGAATGTTACACCTCATTGGCGACTGTAAACAGGTATGTGGGAATCGTCAAGTACTTTATCTTGGCAAGGGGAGGTAAGAAAAACTTAGGACCTCTATCCTAAATGACAAAAAGACTTAGATAAGTTTAGTATCCTTTAGCAGGCCTTTAAGCCAGCTAATTTTGGCACCTTGGCTTGATGTCAGAAGTTTTCTTGCTCTCTGGGGCGTGGTAGAAAAAGCCAAGACTGTAAAGGCGGGAAACCAATCTCCATCAAAATCAATGTGGTTACGTGCTGTAACGCTTACGCTGACCGGTGCTGTCTCTCTTCCATACAGGTCAGCAGACTATGAAATTTGAGGAAAGGACCAAAAACAGATCATGGAGAAACAAGCTCGCCAAGGCTCCTTCTGGGGATGGGACGCGGTAAGGAGCAAAAGGGGAATAACTCAAGGTGAGCAAGCTAGGGCTGAGATCCAGATTGCGGAGAAGAAGAGGGAGGTAAGCAGAAAAAAGCAACAACACCGAGCCTCACCTCAAACCCGTCGGTATACGATGTCTGTGCTGCTGAAACTCGTTGGTCACCAGACAGGAACAAACAGGGAGAGTGTGGATACGGTACGGAGAGAAAAGGATCAAGTTTGACGCTACGGCTCCGCAGGCGAGAATGGAGAGCATCTGGCGTGTACCTGAATTCAAGCTGCAAACGAGTGCAAAATTGGCGTAGCTCCAGCTGCTGGCACTAACATGTGCTTCAAACATGAAGAGTTACGACAGAAGGGCAGGTAGGTAGCTAATACGTAGACTGAACTTGAGGTGTTGGATGAAAGCATGCCTTATTTGCTGACGGTGTAAGTGAGAATGAATAGGGTTGTAAATGACAGATTAGACAATATGCAGTTGCAGATTTGTTCCTTCCTTCGTGCCTTGTGGCTGCTTCATCTCTTGCAAGTTACCCTGGGGTCGGGTCTACCCCGCGATTCACCAATGACAGGTTTTATTGTTTGGGGCCAGGTATTCCCACCGCTGAAAAAACTGAGAGCTGTACCTTCCCCTTATCCCCCAGAACTTGGATGATCTCCTGCAGGCGCCATCGGGAACCATCAACTTACACCTAGCTTTCCTTCCAGCACTGAAGTCTTACAGTAGGGAAGGAAGGTTTCCTTTGTCAACCTACTGATATAAGGTAATTCACAACTAGAATACCTGCAGATGAATCTAGTTTCTTCCTCTTCACATCTGTTCTTAGATCACGATCATCGTTTGCGTCTTCTCAACTTCTCAAATGATGCCTTGTGCCTGGCACTAGCACGACATGGAACTGGGACTCTATTTCCGTCACCTTGGATGAATTGTCGGTGTTCAGCTCTGAACAATGTGGAGGCTTCTAGACTATGGCACTCTCGCTTACCCTTCCCTTGCGCCTTTCAACACCAGCTTGGGGATACTTTTAGAACAGACTCTGCACATGACTCCAGTTACCCAGTCAAGATCAGTCATGACTTGAAAAAATTTCGATTTATTGGACTAGAATCCCAGGGCCTGGCTTCGTGACCTGGGTCTCACTGACCCTTGGAGTCGATTGTGGTCCTCTTCAGCTTCGCCCCGCAACTCATCTCGTCCGTCAGCATCAGTTGTCAGGCAAAAGAACAGAAAGTCACGATAATGCAAAAAGCTTCCCGTGGGTAGCCTCTACCGGGATCTGGGTGACGTACAGACCAGAACCTGCATTCCCTGCCTTTCCCCACATGACTCGAATTTTACGGTCGGCGGCTCTGATTGGCCCTATGCTCACCTTTGATTGTACACGCCCCTCTGCCGGTTCTCACCTTTTCAAACCGTCTCTCTGAAGATTCCGACATTATCCGAGTGTCCGTTTCTGACCGTTTCTCCGCCCAGAGCCTCCATCTAAATTACGTTTTTGGGGCTGGGCAGCTGGGGTTCAAGAACTGCGTGGGGAAATGGGGTTGCGGGGGCTATTCTTCTCACAAGAGAAGCACATCACAGTTTAGGGATAATGTCACACCCGGTACGACTATGACTCCCGTTGCGGGCGCCTGCCTACCATGTTTCGGCTAACTTCCTGACCATCGTGCTCCGTCACCCGGCTCCGTCTCCTCCGTATGCCTCCGGTATGCGATGTCAACCACTCTCGCTCACCTTGATCAAGCTTGCGATGCAGGCCCCTGTCCATACATGCTCAACTTCATGTTATCTTTAAGATAACAAACTGATATAGGACGTAGCGTCGATCACTGCTGTGCATGTGTTGCAGTAAAACTGACATCCCCTTCCGCCCGACCTTCAAATTCCCATGAATTATCAACGCAGTTTGCGACTACCTTGATCCTGGGCACTGCATATTGCTTCAAGTTTGATCATGATAATGCAATATCAGGAACCGCTGTACGGCCTGGCATCGATCAGTATCTCCAAAGCTGATCCACCTAAAACCCAACGGTGTTCCGTACACCTCCGTCCTCTCGGCAACCTTCCGAAAGGACTTCCGTAACGAGACCGTTGTGTTGCCAGGGCTCACTCACCTCGGAATACATCAACACAACATACAGTTTTCTACCGTATCCTGTCACATCCACCAACTCCCGATCCGCTGGGCCGCTGCCAGCCAGCCAGCGCCGTACCGGGATCCGCACCCGCAACCGCATCCGCAGTACCTGTTCCCTTCCTTGCATGGATATGGATATGGATATGCATCATTCTTCCCCATACTCATCTCGGATTTCCATTCGGTCACCGCTTCTCAATTCTGGAACAATGATGTAGCGTCCTGTAACGCTTTCCTTGGACCGTCCCGACTTTTCCTCGTGCCCATAAACCTCGCTAACAAACTTCCTTGCTCCAACCCCTCGATCATGATAGCCCATCAACCAAAACGCCATCAAGCCCATGCAAATATCCTCCTTTGGGTCTCCGTCCCGTTTCCGTTCACTAACTAACCTCGGAGACCGTCCATCAAAGTAGAGATCCCTGCTATATCTTGCAGTAGGAGACTGGGGTTACGTATCGTGGACTAAGGCCTAGATTGTCAATTATCGTGACTTCATGCAGATTTCTAAGGGGTGTCAAAAGAGACGACGGCGAAATCTCTCCTCTTGCCGAGCCTGTGCTTTACATGATTCACCGGTTCTGAGTTTTCCTCTAATCATGGGCTGCCTCTCGACTCAGACGTCAGGTGGACGATAACTTCTCGGTTTGTTGTTTTCGTCCATCTTTCACTTTTCTTTCTCCTGTCTCAGTATCATGATCTTACCTCAGTTGCTTTGACCCTGGATGTGTCTCACCGCCATGAATGGCTACTATAAGCACACATGCCATGTTTCCTGTCCCCTTGTATGGACGTCGTTCTTTTCGTCTATCTATTTCAAAGACAGCTTTGTTCCCAACGTTTGGCTTTTAGCTCTCTTTCAAGAGATAGCATTTATCTTGAACGTGTGATAGTCAGGGTTTATTTGCTACATCAAGACGCCATCCATACCACACATGAGCAAGGCAAATAGTGTATCATGATTCCCGTCATCCTCCTTTTTTGTTTTCTCACTTGCCTGTCTATATACACTTGAAGTACAGAGAATGTACGGCATCCATCATAATATCGCCTACTGTCTCTTCTTTCGTGTCGTCATTTTCAATGTCCCTCTGGCGGCAACACAAGCGGTCTTCCTATCATCCTATACAATTCCGGCACCGCGTCCCTGGTAACCCCATAACTTCCCCAGCGCCAAGCCGTCGAAACCGTGATGATTTGTGAAGAAGATGGTGGTGAATGTCCATTAAATGTCCCCTGTATTTTTGCTCATGGCGTGACCTGTTTGGTCTCACATAATCGCAATCGTGCGCGGATCGAAAACAGTCATCATTCATTTAAGCCTCATTGAAGATGAGCTTCGTAATCTTGCCGATAGCAATGGTTTGTCCCTGTGCGTATATCATATTAGCTATCTGATATCCGAATATTGAGGCACTGCCTATGACTCTTGCCGCCACGCCTTAACGGCAGTGGTCTCTTGGCCATCTGGGGACGAGACACCCAAAAGTATGGGGTCAGTAGAATGGGGAATGGGTGTGTTGGGGCTGGGGGTGAATAAAGCCTACCTGGTCTCGCAAGGTGAAGCGACCCATCTGGGGATAGTCCTCGAACTTCTCCACGCACACAGCGCCTGCTCCGCCAATCACTTGCATACGAGCGATGATACTGTCGCCCTTCTTGGCGTGTGTAGGGGGGTTCTTGCTCTTGCGGTTTGTTCCCTTTTGAAGCTTGTGTAGAAGGGCTGCGAATGTTACCTCCTCAATGGCAGAGTGGACATGCAGCACGCAGTTGAAGCCAGCAGTCAGAATACTCTTGAGCTCCAGGATACGGATCTGGGCTTCAAATTCAGCGACAGTGTGCACCAGTCTCTTTGGCGAGCAAAGCACGAATCCGGGCAAGATATCGTCCTCCTCAATACCCTTGAGCCTTATTCGCACTTGGTCACCACACTGAGCTAGCTGAACCTCCTCTTCCTGCTCGCCGTAGACGGCAGCAGCTTCTACGTTGGTCTTGTTGGGCATCATGATCATGTTCATACCCTTCTTGACAACACCAGCCTCAATCTTGCCTTCCACCATCGTACCAAGATCACGGTACTTGCCATTGATGGGCAACATGAAAGGAGCGTTGACCTTGCGTTCAAGAGCCTTCATGCTGTCAAGATACTCGAGCAGCGCGGGACCATCCCACCAGGGAGCGACATCCTTGGGGATGCGGGTCTTGATACCCATCATTTGCTGAGCGGCGATAGGTAGGAAGTAAACATCAGTCTTGAGGTTATAGCCAGTGCCCTTGAGGAACTGAGCGAGCTTGGTGGTGCACTCCTGGTATCGCTCGTGAGACCACTCCACGGTGGGGTCGTCCATCTTGTTAACGGCAACGATGAGTTTGTTGACACCCTGTGTCTTGGCCAGCATGGCGTGCTCACGGGTTTGTCCACCTCTCTCGAAACCTGTCTCGTACTCGCCTTTTCGGGCGGAAATAACCAGGATACCAACATCGGCCTGAGAGGCACCTCCAATCATGTTGGGGACATACATCTTGTGGCCAGGGGCATCGAGGATACTGTAACGACGCTTCTCGGTCTCGAAGAAACCACGGCCAACCTCGATGGTCTTTCCTTGTGTTCGCTCCTCCTTGTTAAGATCCATGACCCATGACAGGTACCAAGACTCGCGGCCCAAGTCCTTGGCCTCCCTCTTGTACTTGTCCATGGTTCGCTCGTCGACCATACCGGTAGCATACAAGATCGAACCACCAAGAGTTGACTTTCCGGCATCAACGTGTCCCATGAAGATGATGTTGACGTGCTCCTTGCCGTAAATTTCCTTGAGAGTCTCCTGGTCGACATCGGCGGCCTGCTCCTTTTCGACGGCATCAACCTCTCGGGCGGCGGCCTTCTTCTCACCAGCGGTGGGACTGTTGCGACCAGAGCCAGGGCTTGGTGAGGTCTTTCCAGAAGTCTTAGCGGTGGCAGCCTTACCGGCCTTCTCGCCTGTCTTCTCGATGGCCTTTACGGCTGCGGCCTTCTGACCAGCCTCGGGCTTATCGGTAGGCTCAGCCTTGGGGGGTTCTTCTTGCTTGACGGGAGTAGCAGCGCCGGTTCCTGAGATGGAGAGGACCTTCGTCTTGGGCTTGGGACCGGAAGCATCGCCGCTGATGCTGATCACCTTGGGCTTAGGGGCGGTAGCGGCAGCAGGCTGACTGGGGGCAGCAGCGGGAGCATCGGCGGCAGGCCGTTGAGCAATCGTGGGAGCAGCGGGCTGCTGAGGTTGTTGTTGCTGTTGTTGGCCATACTGGGGATAGCCACCACCTGCTGCTTGTGTTAGTATGTCATAGTAACGGATCTCGGCGAATTGTGAATTTTTTTTGGCGCAAGTGTCATACCATAGCCTTGGTTGTTGTAACCACCATAACCCTGGTTGTACTGGTTGTAGCCCTGCTGAGCACCATATTGAGGGTAGTAGCCTTGCTGATAGTATTGCTGCTGCTGCTGCTGCTGGTATTGAGGTGCATATCCTCCATATGCTTGGCCAGGCTGGAATGAAGCAGCACCAGGCTGGAAAGAGGCGATGCCAGGTCGGAAGCCTCCTTGCGCGGGGGCGGGGTTGTTCATGTTAAGCTGCTGCTGAGCCTGCTGAGCGAGGTTCTCATCCTGAGCAGCGGGATCGTCCTCCCAAGAGTTAGGTGTCGCCATTTTGATGTGTTGAGCGGCGGTGGATTGTGTCGCGTAGTGGGGGGTGGAGGAGGGAGAGTAGGTAGAGGGAGGCAGAGGAGAGTAGAGGGTTTTGCGATCACTTGTTACGGTCTGGATGGGGTTGCGGATTTAAAAAGGCCCTAGATATGCAAGCAACCTGTCTGTGGAAAATGGGGCTTGTGTTTTTCTTTTCGATTATCAAGCGATGAGATTATGCCAAGTTCTTGGAGAATTGAGGAAGGGAGATAAATAAATTCCAACCCTTGACCCGGCAGAGACGTCAAGTTTGGTCAGTAAAAGATGAGTTTTAGGCACCAAAGACGCCCAACAACTTATATTGATTCTGTGAATATCCTTAGGTTCCTTGTGTTTTCCTTGGTGGGGGGAGGCAAGAACCAGGCAAGGTTTAGACTGCGAAAATTGTTGCCCCGCTATGGATATCATGACGCCGGACCAACTGCCCTGAAGTAAAAAGCATAGAGGGGTAGTTCAGGGGATTGATACTGTGCGCGCTCGTCAACTCACACGTACATCTATCAAGGAAGGGACGGAACAGGCAGAATCATTTGTTTATTGTTCCAAGCAACTCGGGGCATTTGTCAGTATTACAATGCGTTTGTATAGGTTTCAGCCTTATGACTCGTCTTTTGACTCATCTCATCATTCGAGTTCAAGCCCAATGACGGACTGGGTATCGACACCAGCCACAAGCAAGGACTGCACGTGCCATGCAACGAGGGGCATGGTCTTAATCCTCACACTGTACACGTTGCCCCTCTATACTCAGTGTAAGTGCCCGAAACCTACACCGTCTATGCGTTGGCGGTCAATTACGTGCAGTGAATAACGCTGCTAACGAGCTACGGCTACCAATCCAATGCGGCATGGAACTCTCATAGGGGGACGTGCAATCTTTTGTTTGTCTATTTTCTCGACCTAAAGTTTCGCCCTTTCCCTCTATTGACATTTCTACCGGTGCTTCTAAGCATGATACAGTATTCGATAACGGCGAGCCTCGAACGTCCTGGTCATGGATGAGTTCCTCGCAACAGTTGGCGTTCAAGCCATGAGATATGCCATTCGCTCCGGTATCGCCTTAACATCGTCATATGCCGTCGGTCAATGTTCAAAACTCCTCAAGTCAGTTGAAGACAAGGCTGTCCATGCTGAACTCAAAACGTTAAGAAACTTGCTTGATAGCAAAATAAAGGTGCGTCATAAGGCATATTCATTACTCTGGGGTACCTGGTGCCTGAGACCTAACCTATCACCATTGCAGATCATCTCACCAGCCATAGACTTGATCGAGTTCAAGTAAGCACCCCATTCGCTCATTAACTACACAACTAGTTGGAGCTATTTCTCCTAGTCCGATTCTAACACTCTCAACTAGGTCAGGTCGTGGAAATGTATTTCTCGAATCAGCAACTCCCCTTGCGAAATCATTGCATAAGGACATTGTCTCGCTGGGGCGTCGCATAGAGTCAGCAACTACTGTCTATTCAAACTCAAGGAGTAACAATGCCCAGACACGTTCACCATCTGCCAGCCACGACAGCCTGCTGGCTATCATCACCGCCATAAAGGGTCTGCTGGACCGGATCGACCGTGAGATCCCGCTTCTGCAGTTGGCCATTACTGCATCTGGGGAGAGCCTTTCTACATCTCTACCTGCTGGCATATCACCATCCAGACTGCTGCAGGCCAGCACACTACTCACCGTCGGCGACACACAGTTCGCACAAGATCCAAATAGACCAGTCCAGATTGGCCCAATCTTTACCCTATCTCTCTACATGCTCTTTCTCGGACATGCATCCACACTGATGCCACATACCACCTCTCAAGTTACAGACACCACGATCTCTACTAATGGCCACTGTTCAGAAACGCCAAGCATCGGAACTAGGTACGGGATAGGTGAAGGGGAGCGGAAGCCACTGTGGCAGGAAGTATTACACAAGGCACGAGTTCGCATCTGCAGAACTCGCAGGGACTTCTACTTTGACAGTAAGCGAGGCTACTGTGCGAAGCCATTGAAAGACCACGATTTTCCCCTTCCAGCTCCTGAATCGACCGGTGGGGGAGAGTATGCATACCACCTGGAGGTTATCGAAGACCTTGACGATGGTCGTCTCCACGATGACGAGCATAATATTCAGCCATACTACGACATTCCTCGAGCAGGCATTCGCGAGTCCATTCCTGTACATCAGTTGTCCAAGATATTTTACACGGATACAGGCAGAATTTTGAACATTGGTTCCGCCACTGACAGCGAGCAAAGACCAGTCTTGCTTTTGAAACGAGACACTCAAGCTCTGCCGGCCCGCCAGGAAACCGATGATGTCGGTGGGTTTCTTGAAGGACTCGAGGACGATGATAAGAGCGAGACATCAATTTCGGCGAGTGATGAGGACGATCAAGCCGAGATTGACAGGCAACTTCTAGAGGGTCTCGGACGCCCGGTACTGGAAGACAGCAATGTCGTGCCGGCGAGCGACCATTTCTTCAAGTGGAAATTCCCATCACATCTCGATCCGGAGTGGATGGCCCTCGAGGTGTACGAAGAAGATGATGAAGATGATGTTGGGGAAGACGACGATACCGACTCCGTGGGTTCAACGAGGCTCGAGCTGCCAAAGTGTATGACATCAAACCCGGGTACGCCTCGTGACAGGAGATCCTTAGACTCGAATGTTGTCGATCAAATCAAGAGACTATCTTTGAACAGCCCTGATAAACTGGGCTCTCTACAAGCAGTCACAGCAGCCGAGACAGAGAATTTTGTCGCTCGATCGCCATTTGGGGCGATCACAACATCTCTATCTCTAATGGAGATGCTGATACGACTGGCTAGTCTCCAGGAGTTTCAGCAGACATCTCATCTGTCTATTCCTGACCACATACTCACTTTCTTCCTGGAGGAGACATCGACCACAGGGTTGATTGGTGAAACGCAGTGGAGGGCTCGGAGCGAAGCAAAGCGTCGTATGGGGTTTGATCCTTATACCGACGCACCGACGAAGTAGTTAATAATTTCTACAGAAATGTGATGACTGTATGTAATTTGACTCGGAACAACCACTACTAGTGCAAAACTATTTGATATTCCATCATAATATCAACCATTCACTTACTGCAAGGACATCGAAACGACTAAATTCGAGATGAATTTGGATCATCCATACTCTGAGCAATTATGATCACTTGTATATGTATGATATGTTGACATAAGTCAATTTCAGGCCATGATGGTCCATGGAGACTATTCGTCCGCGCGCACCGAGTTGCACGGAGGTGTTTGGAAGTTGACGACGAAACATGATGACACAACGAGAAACATTGAGCGTTTCTGCAATCCGATTTTACTGCCTCCTCGAAGTAGTATTCGCTTATATATATTTCAGCCAATTGAGCTACTTTGAAGTCTCTTTGAATATATGCTGTGAATATTTTTGTTTTGCGAATAACTTACCCTATGGTGACGACATCCTCTGAGAGACATAGTAACACTTACCGCGGCCAAGTTTCACATCATATCAATCAAAGACATACAACTCCAACATCAACTTCTACCCAACAACAAGTGAACCAGTCAATTGGACAGAGAACAGAGCTTTTCATCATAGAAAATGGCTCCTCTCGTTCCTCGGTTCCATCTCTTTGAGATTGACGATCAAACTTGGTACGTACTTCGGCTCCAAGCTCCACCAGCTCCAGAGCTTCGTCAACCCCAATGTCCAAGCTCTACTCTGGAGCTTCAACTGCCCGAGCCTGGAGCAAGCAGCTTCAGGATACTAGACCGACATGCAATTGCTATACCAACGTCAATAGTACTAATAAAGTATCAGGTTTCCCGCCTTTCTTCGTGCTCGCGTCCAAGATGGCCTTACACGCGCCTGGCTCTCCAACACGCCTCTCCAATCCCAATCTCCCGCGAGTCTCAGCGCCCAAGTCTTGATCAAGCAGCTCAACACGTCTCTACCCGATTATACTTATATCGATTTCTGTGCTGGCGGTGGTGGACCCACGCCCTCGATAGCTCGTACCGTCAACGCGCACCTTCAGTCTCAAGGATCGGACCCTGTTCGCTTTATCCTTACAGACTTGCACCCAAATGTCGAGGCATGGGAACAAGTTGCACAGAAGAATCCGCTGTTGACGTACGAGCGCAACTCTGTCGATGCGGCGTCTGCTCCGGGATATCTTGTCAAGAGGGAAGATGGAACGAAGCCTTTCAGACTATTCAACCTGGCGTTTCATCACTTTGACGACGACTTGGCCAAGGATATTCTGCGAGATACTGTCGAGACGAGCGAGGGTCTTGCTATCTTTGAGCTACAGGATCGTTCCTTTGCGAGCGTGTTGGCGGTTACCTTCTTGGGCATTGGCGCATTCTTCAGTGCTCCGTTCTTCGCGCTCAAGTGGCGATCACCTGCAACACTTATCTTCTCGTGCTTGATCCCTATTCTACCGTTCGTTCTCATGTTTGATGGATATATCTCAGCGCTGCGAACAAGAACACCCGAAGAAGTTGAGGCTTTGTTGCGGTCTTGTGGTGCAGACACGAGCAAATGGGAGGTCAGGAGTGGTAGTGAGATGCACCTCTGGCCGTGCGGATATGTCAATTGGGTCATCTGTAGACCTGTTCGTAAAGGCTGATATTACATAGTATAACATCGGTAATGTACAAGAAATTTGCGACACGGCTATATCTGTGGTTGCTTCATCGAAACCACCAATTGACCGAGCAGTTCACTTCTCCATCCCATCCCACGCTCTTAACAGAATGCCAATAATGTGCAGGGATAAACATGGAGTCGCCAGGCTCTAGCACAACCTCGAAAAGCCCTACTGGTGTTTTATCGTCGCCCCAAACAGCATCATGCAGCATTTCCCGCTCCTCGCCCTGCATCATATCCTCCGTTCGTAACCGACCATTGTCTGTCTTTTCCATTTTAGCTTGTATTTCGCCGAAGAGTGCGTCTCCCGACTTTGGTAGCATGAGCCTGAGGACCTTGTTCCCGGACAGCTGGCAGAAGAAGTTGGGGTTTGGATCTCGGTGTAGAGGTGTATACGTCGGCACTAGGCCGAGCCATATGCTAGAGTCGTATATGTCTCCCTTTCCAACAAACTTGATGATTTCTGGAGTGGGAAGGTCGTCCTGGAGGGTCTTGGGGAGATCCCCTATGGAGCACTGAGCAATGTAGACTGATATTCTCGGAAGCCCCATGCTCAGCAAGACTTTATTGAAGTGGTATATCTTATTGAAAAGACGGAGAGGTGCAGTGAATCGATAGAAATCCCTGTTGGCTATATTGTTGACTGTTTCGTCGAGGACACCGTCAACCATAGCCTCCTGGTTGAAACAGTTGTCCCAACTCCTCGCAATGGCATCATCGTGGATATCTCTGTCAAGAGAATCTCGAAACATTACAAGGCTGTCCTTCTGCTTCTGAGATGGAGCGTATATCTCATAAGTGACCATGGGATTGCGAAAGCGGCGGAAGTGCCACGACAAAGGCTGCCGTGGAGTTGTTGTGTGCGTTGTGTAGTATGGGTCTTCCTCGTCTATAAACCAGTTCTCCAACGCAGGCAGATTGGCAGCCGGCGAACCCTGGTCTTTACCAAAGACGACTGGCTTCTCGAGTTCAAATGATCGTGAGCGAAATGCTTCAGTGGTGGTGTATTCCTCAGCTACTGCTACCAGTCTCGGTATTCCCTTTCTTGGTGATATTGTCTCACTGAAACAGCGGCATAGAGGAACCGTCTTTGGTATGTGCCGACTCCATGGTGAGAAGGTAGATAGAACTTTGCTCATGATTTCTCTATTTTCGATGAGAAGAGGTTTTAATATAACGAGTAATGAGAAGAGCTGGTCATGATATCTCTTGTAGTTCCATTTGAGAATAGATCGACGTTATGTCCTGCATTCATCTAATGCATTGGTTGGGTCACACTTTTACCACCATCTTGAATATCAAAGGCGAGACTCATGCATCGGAAGCGGCAAAACCCTGTCCCGAAGCAGGTACCGTTAGATAGAATGGAAGTGGAAACCAACTCGAGATTCACTGTATCTGTTTCTATTTCTGTTGCACCAAAACTCTGCATCCTGCCGCGATCGACGAAAGAGGAAATTGGTCTTCATTTATACAATTCAAGTTTATTATAAAGGTCTCTCTTTATTGTATATTATCCCAATGCGCTGATTTTCTATGTATTACTGCTATTGTTTTTGGTGAAATCACATAAGTACGGATCCCTCAACGGGCACATCCCTACCAACACCGATCGACTTTAGCGTACCTAGTGCGTTCGTGCCCTCCACTGTAGGTTAGGTCAGGTTAGGCTAGGTGTAGTGCTTTGTGCCCGTGGCTCGCGATATCTGCGCCCCTCAAAATACTCACCAACATCCATCACCCCGCCTCGAGGTAGCTTTACAGCTATCCTGTCGATACCGCGCCCTACAGCACAGCATATCAACGCCCTCATAATACCTCGCATTTTTCTCGCCTCTCCGTTGCGATTCATTCTATACCACGCCACTGCCGAGCGCAATCCCTTGGCCCAGCCTCGTCAACTGGCATCTGTTGCCCCTCGACAACAAAAGAGACGACCACGATAGCGACACCATGTCGACCTCTTCGGGCGTCCCCGAGTCCTGGATATCCAGTTTCTGCTCTCTGCTCGGCCATGAATACTTTGCCGAAGTCTCGGAGGAGTTTATCGAGGATGACTTCAACCTGACTGGTCTGCAGTCCCAGGTTGCCATGTACAAGGAAGCATTGGAGGTATGTTTGTCTTGTCTTGCAGGCGCGTCGACGTTTGCAGTTTTTTCTCTCCCAAAGACCCAGAATTGCTAACGTTGCACCCCTGTCTCACAGATGATCCTGGATGTGGAACCAGAGGACGACGAGGAAGAGGAGGAAGAAGAGGAGGAAGAGGACGAGAACGAGTCAGACCCAGAACGCTTGACCAGAGCAGCCAGCGAGCGGAGGCATCACCGCATGGCCAGCGACTTGTCCGTCATCGAATCCTCTGCCGAGATGCTGTACGGCCTCATCCACCAACGCTTTATCTGCTCCAGGGCCGGCATCCAGCAGATGAGTGAAAAGTACGAACTGGGCCATTTTGGTTGCTGTCCCAGGACAAACTGTGACCAAGCTCGCACTCTACCCGTTGGCCTCTCCGATATCCCTGGCGAGGACACGGTCAAGCTCTTCTGCCCATCATGTTTAGACGTTTACGTCCCGCCCAACAGCCGTTTCCAAACCGTTGACGGCGCCTTCTTTGGTCGTACTTTCGGCTCTCTCTTTCTCCTTACTTTCCCAGAATATGACCTTACTAAGCGTGGTATCGAAGTGCTGTCATCCACGAGCTCCCGTGTTAACGAAGGCGATGGCCTCATCAACGGCATGTACGCAAAGAATATTGGTCCTGGTCTGGGCCGTGAGCGTATATACGAGCCTCGCATTTATGGTTTCCGCGTTTCTGAGAGAGCCCGTTCTGGCCCCAGGATGCAGTGGCTCCGTGAACGCCCCACAGATATTAACGAGCTCGACGAAGCCCGTCTCTATGCAGAACAGAACCCTGACTCGGAGGATGACGACGAGAACAGCGGCCAAGCTGGTGTTAATGGCAGAGTTATGGTTCGTCGACGCCCTCCTGGAAACGCTCGCCTTCGCCAGAGACAGAACAACAATGGTAGCCCCATGGCTCTGTCCACTAATGGAGCTGAATCCGAGTTGTAGAGTGATGGGCGCATACGGCTGGTCTCATATATATCCCTTCGCGACTCCAGACCCGGCAGATGTTAGGACTGTTAATGAAATATTCCTATCTTTTTCAAGGGAAGATTTCGACATCAGGCTACCTGGATATTTGGCAATAATGCCTAATGACTGCATCATGGAAACAAGGCGTAGACGCACTGGAGACGCATTAGGAAGGGCTAAGCATGATGGTGTCACAGGGTGGGAGGAAGGGTACCATTGGGTTTTTGCTTCGCAGGATTAATGCATAGACGGCGTTGAACGTTTGATAGGTAGGCTATGGAAAATACACATCAAATGCACATTTATGACAACTCAAGGAATCTACCAATACATGACTAGAAGAACTTGATGATTATGTGTGCTTAAGCTTAGCATATTATCACTTGTTTATATCTCAGGGCTATGCGGTTATCACTCGTCTGTTCAAATTACCCAAGTTATGATGTGTTTTCCCTTCATTGGCATTAGGCATGAGTTCTATGGATAGACATATACATGCTACTACTCCTGATGCCTTCCCCCCTGTTCCTCATCCAACCACTACCAAGTCGCCAGTCCTGCGGCGTGGTGTTGTACTCCCTCCTCATGCGGCCGTGACCCTCGCAAGACAGCCATGCTAGAAATCCCCTCCTCGCCATGAGTTCGCTCAATGCTCTTGTTTTTATAGAGAAGAAGCAGAGATCGGTCAAGAAACAATAAAACAAAAACCTTTCCTGTCACCAAACACCCCGTCCTTGAACCCATGCTATCGTATACATCATGGTCCTCGTCTCTCGTCCGTTCTATGCTAACAAAAGAGAACAATAAAGTTAAAAATAAAAACAAAAGGATAGACTGCCAGCGATTATGAGTATCTTCCTCGCACAAGACTTTTCTGCTTGCACAGAAAGGACAGCCTGCGACATCAAACTGCATTGCGATGGTGAAGCGTACTTCAACGCCTGATAGCTCCTAACGCCCTGTTGCCCATTTCCATTCCCATCATATCTATCGTGTACAGTGTGTGTATCCCGTGGGCTAAAACCGTTAAAGCAAAAAAGAAAAGTGAGAATGAAACTAAAGAAGAAGAAAACAATAAAACGAAACTGACAGCCACGGTCAACTGGCATCTGAGGGTGTGTGTATTGAAGATGTTGAAGACCCGAGAGAAACTGCTCGTCTGTTCGAAGAGACCCCGGTGTATATGAACCCAGAAAGATGAGGAAAGCTCTACATCAACCTGGAGCTGTTTTTGGCCAACGACCTGTTTGCTGGTGCAGTAGTACTGGCGTATCAAGTACTGGGTGTAGGTTCAACAGCATCGCCCTCAGCCTGAGCCTCTGCAGCTACTGTGTTGCCTATGTCTTTATCTTTGGCATCGTGTTCGGCCTTCGGTGTCGTCTCGTCGCTAGTTACTGAACCACCAAGACTGGCTCTTGGAACAAACCAACCCCCACGTTCCCATTGACCTGGTTCGTATAGGCAAGACTTGCGGACCTCCTCGTCAGAAATACCGGCAAGTAACGTGTTGAGACGTTTAAAATCGATCGGTTTGAGAATCCAGCCATCAAAGCCGGCATCGACGTAAGTCTGCTTCTCGCGCTCAACGAGAGAAGCCGAAACAGCAAAAATTGGGATGCGAGAATTTGAGTTAGCCAACGACGAATGGCCTTGATGCTCCGCGGATGCCTCCATTGACCTGATCATTTTCGTACTTGTGAGTCCATCGACAATTGGCATCTTATTTATGTTAGTAACGTATTCATGCGAGACGACTTAGACAGAATGACTTACTTGCATATCCATTAAGACGACGTCAAACTCCTTTGATCTTTCGCGATATGCTGCAGCACAGTCTTCACCGTTGACAGTATGATGCACGCCATGGCCGACTCGCTCCAAACGCTTCCTCAAAATCTTCATGTTGATTGGGTCGTCTTCGGCCACAAGGACCTCCAGATGTTGTGGCTCAGTCATCTGAGTTCCTCCACTTGTGACGCTCTCTGTAGCGGCCTTTGTTACGGGGCGATCGTTTCCCTTCATCTCAAAGAGAACACGGGAATGTTCGCTGGGCTGTGGTCGTTGGGGCATATCGCTATACTCGTCTGGAATCTTGACAGCACGAATCGGAGTTTTTGAATCCACCATCCCTGCGCTTCCGGGCTCGCTATGTGGTTTGGTTGCCACAGGGCTCCTGGGAGGACTCACAGATCGGCCACTGAGGCTGATAGCTCCGCGGGACGTGGGCCGCATGGAGCTTCCTCCTGAATTCACACTACCAGGAAGAGGATACTCACCGCCTTCCTTGTCGTTCAGAGATAGTGGCGTTGAGATCGCATCAATGAGTCGATCGGCGTCACTTTGATGACTACCATGGCTGCCACAGCTACTCATACTTCGTTGGCTTGCTCGGCTTCCTTGTTTCATTGAGGCATCGCCTCCTTCGACAGCAGAAGTCATGGAGCTAACCCTGTCAACGAGTGTAATCTCTCCCTCTGGAGCGGCTGTCAGAGACAGCGGGGCAGATGTTGCAGTGTTTGCGGAATCTGCACTGTTTGTCGACTTGTTTGTTGAGCCACTCGTCGGGACGTTTTCGTTTCCTTGTGAGCTTGGACACTCATTGGAAAGGAGGAATGGAAGTTGAACCACGAATCTTGAGCCTTGGCCAACCTCCGACTTTAGGCGAAGCTGTCCATCCATGTTTCGAACAATGCGGGCAACAACAGCAAGACCAAGTCCCAATGTTCGCATTTCGCGAGGCATCTCCTCCAGCTTCGTGCCCGACATAGGCGCTTCCTCTGAGCTGACCTGTTCGAGGTCACGGAACAAGGTATCCAATTGGCTGGCACTCATGCCAATACCAGAGTCCTCAATGACAAAATCCACCACTGCCTGTCGATCTTTGACTTCTGACACAAAGACTTCCACCTTAACGTGGCCGCTGTGAGTATGGGCCACAGCGTTCGCAGTGACATTAGAGAGTGCTTGGCGGATTCGTCGTTCATCGCCATGTACGAATCGCGGAAGCCCAGGATGTTGAACAACGGTGTAATGAATTCCTTTTCGTTTAGCATCATTCAGGAATGGACCTGTCGCTTCTCTAATGCAGCTGGCAAGATCAAAAACCTCATCCTTGACCAAGTTCTGTCCTTCTTCAGTCTTAGTCAAGTCTAACAAGTCGTTGATGACATAGATCAAAGACTTGGAAGCGGAATGAGATCTCGCCAGGTTATCACGGGTTTCTTGATCGAGACTGCCCTCCAGGGCGATTTCCAGGTAGTTGATAATGGCATTAAGAGGTGTCCGGACCTCATGGGCAGAATTAGCAAGCAATAATCGGGTTAACTTGCTGTTTTGAAGAGCCATTTCTTTTTGCCTCCAGACCTCGATGAATTTACCGTAGACGAGACAGAGCACGGCTGCAGTCTCGATCTGTTCTTCATTCCATTCTCGGCATTTGCCGACAACAGTTTCATGCCAGGTCTTGAAGCTCTTTCTTGGCTCCAAGTAGCCGGCAGTGCCCTCTCGAACAAACTTTTCGTAGGGGTTGCCGGCCCACTTGACTTCTTTGATCTGGCCCTTCCGGAAGAAGACGATGAAGTCGTTGCCGCCAACGCTGAGGGGTACGTAGAGTAGACCGGCTACAACTTGGAAACCAGGTGGATATCGTAGGTCGGGAAAGTCTTCTTTGACGTCCTGCGATGCAACAACAGAGGTAAGTTGTCGCATTCGTAGGTATTCCAGCATCGCAAGGGCTTCCTGGCTTTGTTCGACAAGTCCCATGATTTTGGTCTCGCCCTTGATGGATAGCAGCCCAAAATCGGCATCGAACAGCTTCAAAAGATCCTCTGAAGACGCAATAATGTATCCAGAAGGGTTCTTGTCTGTAGGTGCAGTGTTGATCAACTTGCGAGCCTGTAGCCGTGAGGCGTAAGATAGCCTCTCAATGTTCCTGGACGCGGTGTCACCAACCAGTCGACACATCTTCCGAATTGGAAAAGACACTCGCATGCCGTGATTACCATACGAGTGGCAAGAAATAAGGCCCCATAGCTCATTAAAAGCATTAATTGATATCGACATGGACGATCTCACTGCCATGTTTTTGAGATACTTGATATGGATAGGGGACATGGCTCGCAAGTAGGAATGACTCATGTCCAGAGGAACGTCCAGATCTTCCTTAGTCCTGCAAACTATTCTGGAGGTGTCTTGATCTCGGTCGTAAAGCAATCTGACCTTGTTGAGTTTGTATAAATCGCGAGCTTGTCGTGGAATGTCTGATGCGGGAAAGTGGAGGCCTTTATACAGATCTCTCGTCATTGATGTGTCGACAAGTTCTGTTACGACCTTGCCGTTGAAGGAAGAGTCGAACTGGTAAATCATGACACGGTGGAAGCCAGTCAATTCCTTGACTATGCCCACCAGGATTTTCAGGAACGCTTCCAAGTTGGGAGCTGAAGAGAGTTGCTCTTGAACCTGGGACATGATATCAAAGACTTGCATGGCGCCTTGCTCGCCCCGTCTCTTTCTCGCACTCCTCAATATTCTCAGGGGTTTGCTGAGGACCTCTGTGCTGTCTTCGATTTCTTCCAGTGTTGGATTTGACTGGAGGGTGTCGTGTGGGGTATCGGGGGTCAACTCATCAACTGGTCGTAGAGGATATTCAGCGTCATCGTCTAGTTCGAATTCGCAAATGATTAAATCAGGATGTGCCGGGTTTATGTGAATGGCACACCAGAGTTTTGTGCTTTTGCGCTTAGGGGACCGAATCGACAAACTAAAAACTTCAGGCCCGTTAACGGCTGGATCCGCATCTTCGTCACGAATGAAATCGATGTGGTCAAGAAGATTATCCTGCTGTTCCTCCGTCAAGATGTCTAAAAAGTTTTTGAGTTGAAATAGTTGCTTGGGCGTGTAGCCCAGCATTCGCTCAGAGTTTTCGCTAATGTATCGAGCGACGAAGCAGCCATCATTCTCTTCACGGAGCGCAACGAGAGCACCGAATGTTTGAATCGCACCAGGAGTATGAATCGGTTCATCTTCGCAGCGCTGAAGGACACCATCGCGGCCTGTGATAACTGCATGGCCATCATCGGTCACAACATGAGTGAAGCGAGATGTGACAAGGGGGACGTCAGCACTCGACTGTCCCGCAGAAGACACATCGGGTTCGTGTCCAGAGGCTGCAGCTGCAGGTGCGCTGTGACCCATTGGCCCGGATTCTTCTGTTTCTGTTTCATTGTCGGAAGTGGAGATATCGAGCTGAAGTGGTGTTGTACTGCTTCCATGGCGGTTTGCGTCTAGTTGAATGCTGGACATTGGGCCGCTCATAGTGTTCTTCCTCCGCATAAGGGCATCGATGCGCTCACTATGGGCTCGTGAATGGTAATTAGCTGGAACGGTGTCTGACCGTCTCAGATCTGGCCCCGTGTCAGCTCGGGGAGCACCTGGGACATGGACAGGAATGCTTCGACTATCGCGCTCAGGCAAGGCCGGGAAATAATCGTCACTGGCAATCTTACTGGGGTTGGGGTCGACGCTTATGACGGATCGTATAGGAAAGACTCGATCTCCAGAAATATCTGAAGCAGCAGAGTGATATCCCAATTGCTTATCTGATCCAACACTCCAAGGAGAAAACGGCGGATCCGAGTTTGCAATACTATTCTGCTCGCTAGGAGCAGCAGATGAGACAGCTCGGGTCGTGCGTGTCGGAGTTGCGTCGGAAGGACTTGTTCGCAAATTTGGCAAGTCTTGGCCCATGGGCCTAGATGTCGATGAAGATGCTGTCGAAGACTGAGGTGGAGGGGGGTAAGAAGTATAGGTTGGAAGAGACGCAGACGAGGGGTCGTGTTCCTGCTCCTGTTGTTCCTGCTCCAGCTGCCCTTGCTGCTCAGGCTGAGCTTGGTTGACGTCCTGGTCGTCCTTCTCGTGAGGCGCATCCATGGCGATGCTGTCTGATCGCTAACCTAACAGTTGCGAAGCGGATGCTGAAGGATGAAAGCCGAGAGGCAAAAGAGGGTGTGGAGAGGATGCTCGAGGGAGAGGTGAGGGCGGTCCTATAAAGTAGCGTCGCGCATTCCCGTTATAACCGATATCGTGTAAGTGTTAGGGTGACAGCCTAGGAGGATCCCGTGAGATCGAACGATTGGGGTGGCCTAGGTGAAGTAAAATCGTCCGTGGTGTTGTGGTGATCGTGGTTGATTGCTTGCCAGAAGGAGCAGCGCGGGAGCTACATGCACAATGATAGAGTACCTAAGGTAAGGTAGCGTTGATGGGAGTAGCAAGATCGAACGAAGTGACGAGGCTCCCATCCAATTCGATATCAAACAGGGGTTCAGACTTAGAACTGCCCTCGGTAGAACAGACAGGCCAGACAAGGCGTATGAAATGAAACGGAGCTATCACGGTAGACAGACAGACAGAAAATAGGCGGCGATAGATGGCAAAGGGCTGCGATGGCGTATCCCAATGCGGAAGGAGTGACGAA